CCCGACCCAACCCCCCCGACCGCTCCCCCCGCCCCTACCCAACCCCCCCGACCCAACCCAACCCACCAGTTGAATTCTCTCCGTCACCACCGCGTCGCTCTTCCGATCCACCAGGGCCTCGAGCAGGTCTCGCTGCCTGGCCAGCTGACGAGGCTCCAGGGAGACCGGGGGGACAGCACCGCTACCGCTACCGCCACCGCTACTGCCGTTGGTGCCGGAACCGCTCCCACTGCTACTGCTACTGCTGGTGTCGGCTGTAGCGATGGCGTTAAGGCTAATGCCACCAGTGATGATGGCGGACGAGCGGTCGCGTCGAAGTCTTCCTGCTCCTGTGATTAGCCGGCTCTGTTCATGCTGCTGCTGCTGCCATCGGTTTTGGTGTTGTTGTTGGTGTTGTTGGTGTTGGTGTTGGTGGTGTTGGTGGTAGTGGTGTTGGTGGTAGTGGTGGTGGTGGTGTTCCTGTGGCGGCGGTTGTTGTGCTTGCTCTTGCTCTTGTTCTTGTTGTTGATGGAGATGGAGATGGGACAGCTGGATGGGACACGAACCGGAGGCACCACTAGCGCCGCCGCCGCCATCGCCGCCACCGCCCTGCCTGCTGCCGGGGGGCTGGTGCTGGTACTGGTGCTGATGCTCACGTTGCTCGTGCTGAGGGCTTTGATGATGATCTTGCACCTCCCGCGTCACTGCCGCCTCCGCCTCCGCCGCCTCCGCCTCCGCCGCCTCCGCCGCCTCCGCCGCCTCCGCCGTCACTGTCCCTAACGTTGTCAAAGCCTTCATCGAGCTCTCCGAGCTGAAGGGCTGTTGTACTACGGAAGAACTGTCCGCTGCCGCTGCCGCCGCCGTCGCAGCGGCGGCTGCGGCTGCAGCAGCAGCCGTACCTTGCCGTCGCAGCTTCCGGCGTCGCCCCGGCTTCTCCTCCTTTGCACTACTGCCGCCTGCTACTGCCGCCGTCGCTGCGGCGGCATCCGTCGCCAACCGGCGACTTCCTTTCCGCCGACTCTGGACTGGCCGCTGGGCCGTCGTCGGCTGAAGCTCCTGCACCGCGCCATCACCACCGGTGCCGGCGGCTCCGTTGCCAGAGCTCACTTCCCGTACGACTTCCGGTGTGGACAGCATGCAGCCCCGTACACGACGTGGCTTTGGGGCGTTCATGCTTTCCAGAAGCTCCTGCTCGCTGAGGCTCCAGCTGGCGGCGGCGGCGGTTTCGGAGCCCTGGGCGGCATCTGTCCATGAGGAGGTTGCGAACGGCGTTGCTCCAGCGATAACCGGCGGTGGCAACTGCAGCTCGAACTCAGGGCCTAGATAGAGTACGACGCGCTTGTACGGCGAAGGCCGCGGCGGCGGAGGCGCTGTGGGTGTCGCGGCTACAGCATCACCACTGCTGCTGCAGGTGGCGGTTACGCTCCAACCGTCACCCATGGGCTGGGTTGGTGAGGTCCGTTTATTTGCGTTGGTGATTCTAGCGTTCGCATTTAGAGAGGCTGAAGGGCCTCCGTCGGCGGTTTCGGAGCCCCCAGGGCTTCTAGTGTTGCCCCCCACCGCCCCGTCTAGTTGTTGCTGGGGAACGGAATATGCGTTGTTGTTATCGGCGGCGATGGGATTGTACTCGCCGCCGCTGCTAGTGACATCAGGGTCCGGCGCTGGGCCAGGGCTGCCCTGCACCATAAGCCTGTCCCAGATTGCGGACACCATTCGTTGTGTGGCCTTGAGGTCACAATACTCGCCGTAGAAGCTGGCAGTGCTGAGATTACGGCGAGCTACAGGATTGCGTAACCGGCGCCTTGAGCCGGGCAGAAAGGGCTGGTCAGGGCTGTTTGCTCGGCCTGAAGTGCTGGGCGGCGACGATGGAATGTCCACATTTAGTTCCCGCACGTCGTCGCTAGACACAGAGAGCGTCGACGCTAATTGTGCAACATCACCACGATGTTGGTTCAGCAGGACGACTTGAGGCTCTGCTGGGGCTGGACAATTCCGCTCTGGGGCTGCGACCGGCACTACCGTAGATGTCTGCTTCGCTCGTACCGGCCAACGAGAAAAATTTGCACCTAATAATTTGGACAACTGTGAAGGACGCAACGTCCCGCGAACGTCGATATTCGGTGACTGCAACAATGGAGTGGTCGCCCGAGGCCCTAAGCCTGCCATTTCCATGTAAAGCAACGAGAATAAAGGTGATACCTACTTTTGCCGCGGCATAATATGCTTATAGTCCGCTAATTCACAGACGCCGCCGCAAGGAGTGTTCTACTTCGTGTGCGGTAATTGAGCCCGAACTAAAATACCAGTAAAGTTAAGCCCAAGACGTCGTTAAAAAGAATGCAAATATAACTAAAGGATTGCATGTAGGATTTAGTCAAGCTATGCGTGTGGTTGGGAATCGCAATCGTCGGATCCAAACATCCGGCCGTCTTGCATTACATTGTGCAATACGTATTCACGGTAATAAAAGTATCGTTATAGTATCGTTATAAACTGTGTGCCCTTTGAATTGTCTTCGCTCCTTTTGCAGTCCACGCTGGCTCATGGGCTCATCCTCGCGTACTCACACACAAACAGTCCACACTTCCGCTCATATGCCCTTGAAAGCCCTTGAAAGCGAGGGCATGCTCGTTGTGGTACATGATTGTTGTGGTCATCATCTTGTCGTTGTAGATAGATGTTTCACACGCACCTGGAAACTCGTGGTCACCTCAACTCTCGCATCAACAGCAATCCTGGCTGCAACACCACCTCCATAACACCACAACATCAAGCTCTCAACTCCACCCAAAACGCTAAATCGTTTCTGTCTAAGAGCCCCCATCACGAGACCTCTTCACACGGCGAAATACAGCTTACTGCATAACCGCCAAACATTTTATGAACAACAGAATCGAGACACATCACAGCCAGACATCACCCCGCCAACAACACAAGGCACACGTCCATCCCTCCGAGCACTCCTCCTTGACCCGCCGTTCGCTGCCGATGCGGTACAACAGCCGATCAACATATGCAAACACATGCACATATTCTGATTCATCCATTACGCAATTACGGCATACAGCTTCTTCGCGGTCATGCAATATAATCCGCAGCCAGCGGCGGCAGCAGCACCAGAATTTCCTATATCTCTCTCTCTCCTCGTCCCTTCACCTTCAACACTCGCTCCGCCTCTTTCCCCTCTCCTCCCCCTTTCCCTTCCTTTCTCCTCCCCGCGCCCTCCCTCGTACGACACTAAAAAACCCACTTCACAGCACCCTGGCCTCCTCTCTCAGCCGCCGCACCAGCTCCCCCACATCTGCCACCCGGCTGCCTGCCTTCCGCCGCGGGGGCTCCTCCACCACCACCGTACGAAGCTGGGGCGCCACGTCAGCAGCCGACAGCCCCAGCTGCTCCAGGGTGGCCGACTCGATAGGTCGCTTCTTGGCACGCATCATGGCGGGTAGCGTTACGAACCTGCCAGCGTACAGCGCAGTACAGTACGGTACGGTACAAAAAGTTGCAGTACAATTTGCCGTATGATGACCAGAACGGCAGGAATGGCAGCGGGAAGTGGACAGTAATACAGCAGGAGGCGCTGGAGGAGAAGATGCCAGGTGGCTAAGCGGCTGGGCGAGGGGGGGGGGAGGAGGCGGGGGATACGACGAGCCACAGACGAGTAAAGCTGGTAGATGAATATATACTCCAAGATCAGTCAAGATGCTGTATCAGGAAATTGTAACAAGTTCCCAACCAGTAGTGACTTGGAGGAAAGGAGTATCGCAGCGACGAAAAAGGCGGGGGTGAGGAGGCGGGGGTGAGGAGGCGGGGGGAAGGAGGCGGGGGGAAGGAGGCGGGGGAAGGGGGCGGGGGTGAGGAGGCGGGGGCCTACCAGGCTCACCTCGGGGTGTTCAGTCGCAGGTCGGCTGAGACAACTGCTGGCAGCGGCAGTGACAGCACCTGCAGGCGGGAGGTGTCGAGCGGGCGTGGCAGGTGGCTGGGTGGTGATGGGGGCCCCGCGGGGCTCAGTGGGGCCGTACTAGCTCCAATACTCACCAGCGACGTGGCAGCGATTTGCAAAAAATAAAGCATGTATATATGTATGTATTTACGTATACACGTAACTGGAATGTCCAATTCGGTAAGAGCCAGCCGCGTTGGAGAGCCATGCGTGTGTGTGTATGCCTATATGTGTGCCTCTCCTTCACCCAGACTCGACGTGCATATTTTCGAGGTCAGGTCTCAACAAGGGTACGTCCTCACCTCCAGGCCTCCGTCCACCTCCCGTGTCACTCGGACCCGTGGGTCGCCCTTGGCAGCTTCCAGCTTGGATGCGAACGTGGCCTGAGGCCAGCCTAACAGCCCCGCCACCATCTGACCCTGAAGACAGACAACATGAAATCAACAAGGGGTTGAAGCTATATTATTGATCAAGTCCCAAAAATATATTTAAAATCATTAGAATTTCATGTTGATGTTTTTGGAGTTTCAGTAGAGTGGTGTTGGGGATTAAGAAAGCATCCAGTCTCGGGATCGATACCCATTAGGGTCAAAGTCCTTCCGATGGTGGAAGGCATAGCGCCCCTAGTTGATGGACGGTGGTGACCTGGGATAAAGTTAACCTGCGAGCCGACCAGGAACGGAGTTGGGCCGCTGTCGACCCGGCAGATTCCGTTGGATGCTGGTGGTGGGTGCGGAACCTGAGCGATCCACTGAGAAGTTGTCTAGGGTGACTGGATGAGGGTGCCCCGAAATACCGGGGAAGGCAGGGTTTCGCAGGGTAGCTGCCACGGGCGAAGATACACCCCCCTGTTTCACACATCCAGTGGACGTACGTACGTACGTACGAACGGACGCAATGCGTGTGTCGGAAAAGGGACACGTAATTCTTGCCAAGAGACTCGCATCGACTCTTTAAGGGATGCTGTTTCCACCCTTTCCCCATCCCCCTTTCCCGTCCCCTACGTCCCCGCGCTCGGTTTTTTTCGGTTTTTGTCCTAGCTCCGAAACCCAGCACCAGCAGCAGCACCAGCCCCCGCACCGTCTGGTTGCAGTCGTCGTCGATGGCCTGCTTGCCCAGCAGCACCAGCCCCGCATTCTCCCTCTTCGCCAGCGCCGCCAACACACGAGCAACCCCTAGAGGCTGCGGCTGCTCGCCCCCTTGCGCGGATAACCCACACGCCTCAGACGAGACGTGCACAGCTCGGTCCGCACCCATGGCCAGTGCTGTGCGCAGAGTTTCCTGTGAGTGCGGGGCCGGGTGGGTCAGTGGGTGGTGGGGGTGAGGGTGTATGAAGCAAAAGAAGCATAGATTGAACTGCTTATGTGTGCCGATGTGTGCGCGGGGTGGCATGGAAGGCGATGGGGTGTAGAGGGTAGGGTAAGGTAGGATAAGCTTGTCGTTGCTGTTGTTCAGCCCTATGGCCCTATGTTCGGCAGATATGTTCGCCCCTCCCCCGGCCCCCTACCTGGGGCTCCACCAGGGGCTACCCACCCCCACATCGACACACTTACCATCCGTTCTCGTGACCGACCCACGACTGACCCACGACCGACCCACGACTGACCCACTGACTGACCCACGACCGACCCACGACCGACCCACCGACCCACTGACTGACCCACCGACCCACTGATTGACCCACCGACCCACTACCGACCCACGATGGACCCACCTGGAAGTGTTGGGGACCCAGGGACACGGCCACCACCTCCCCCGCCACACCCTTCTCCTTCAGCCGCACAGCCTCCTGTGTATTAGTAAGAACAACGGCCGCAGGAACACATGAGCCTTATAACACGCAGAAGGGCCAGGGGGCGGAGAGGAAGATGGCGCAGCCGGCCGGCAGAGAGGAGGTAAGATGGCCGGAGGGCAGTGAGGGGGTCAGATGCAGGAAACTTGCCAACTCCGTGGTTTACATGGGCCATTGGCATGGTCCATCAATCGCTTGGGTCACGGTCAACGCTGACGTCTACACCGTTCACCCGCAGCGCCTCCAAGCGTACCTCCAAAGCGATTTCGCAAAAGGGGTTCATGCTCATTTTGGGAATAAGAGCCTCCACTCCGCTCTGAAACAGGAAGCAGCAGTAACAGCAGTAGCAACAACAGCAGTAGAAGCAGTAGCAGCAAAAGCAGCAGTAGCAGCAGCAAAAGATGCGAGTGCAACATCCTCAGTGGTTAGCAGGTAGCAGTGCGAAACTATGGGAGCGAGAGACATCAGCATCGGCAATAAGGCCCTGGGATGTATAAGCGCTAAAACTTGTCAGTCGCGTGTACTGACATGCCAGGGCATTGGACAGACAGACAGACGAATAGCCAGGTGCCGCGGCGGGAGGAAAATGTTTAGATCGTGGATGCGCATTCGTTCTCCAAATGTGTGTTCCCATCCGAACTTCTGTCCATCATGCGCTTCCGGGTCTAAATCATCTCGTTCCGCTTTGTGCCATCTGTCCATTTGTTCGACCTTGCCTCCAAAACAACGTTTCTCCAAAGGCTCCGACGCAGCAGGAAAGATGTGGCTGGTGCCCAGGCCACACACCCCTGCTTCCCGCGTGCGCACCTTGTCCGGTTTGACACGCACAGGGACTGCATAGTCAATGACGCGCTTGATAGCTACCAGCACCTTCATGTCGCTTTTAGCTTTCCTGGTGAGACGGTGGATGTGCACCTAGTCGGCTTAAGGGCCGGGCGTCGCAACGGCGTCCTTTGCAGAAGGACGCCGAATTAACTGGATGCTGACGATGCGAGGTGGTTGGCCGGGGCTTGCTCGGCTTTTTCAAAGATGTTGCTGTAGTTAATATTAGGATGTTCTGGATTAGACAACTTGCGGAGAGTTCTGCTGCAAAGACTTGTCAAAGCAGTCCCAATGCAGCACAAACTCCGGAAGTGCAAGCCTTGGTGCCAGGCAGGCTGCCCTTCGAGGATGTAAAGATTTTTTCACGATTTCCAGTCCCAGCGGCTAAACATCAAGGAAATGACAGTATGGATAGGTGCGTTGAAACAGGTGGTTCAGGAACGGAAACGTCGTTTGGTAGTCCCTCCTCGTTTTTTTATCAAGCCTTTACCAAGAAGACATATAACCCCATTTCATACCTCTGCCTTGTTAAATTGCTTGTTTCAATTCAATGACCAAACTGACCGTCGTACACGTTCGACTGGAGCAAGCTTTGCTTATGCAGACATGTCCCATGGCTGAAATACTTTAGCAAGAACAGTTCCACATCTGGATTCGTTGTCAATCTGAAGAACTTCCTTCAACTCAGTCCTGTTACTTGATGATTGCACTTCTAAGGGACCGTGCTCTTATGGAAACACAAGTTCTGCAAGCATAATCATACATGTATGAACCCGCGGCCTTTCTGTGATGCAATAATCTTGTACCCTGACGTGGTAATCGAAGGCTTGGGAAAACCGAGAGACCGTCGAGCGCGTCATACCTAGCAGAGATCGGCGGGAGATTTACCTGTTTGTTCTATACGATCATCGGGTTAGTTAATTCTGCAATCAGCTGTCCCCCGGGAGACATGCTCGTCTGTTTCACGGTCCGGCGACCTTCGCCCCGGCTACTCACAATCTAAACAAGCAAGCAGCTCATCTCGCACAAATATATGTATGATGGCAAAATCTGACGAGGAGTCCATTCCAGGCCAGGAGCGGCAGGACCCACAGCAGCCCCGTGCCGACGATGATGTCTCGCGCCCCCAAGACGCACCTCCCGCCCAAACATCATCACTCCAGGAGCCTGCCCAAAACGCTAATCAGCTGGCTTCACAGACCACAAATGAAGTTACCGTCGCTGACGCCGACGCCAGCCCTGACCCGGCAGCGGCCTCTAGTCGCCTCCCTCCTGGCTCCAGCTCTCCGCTCACAGCGCCCTCTCGCTCAGATGATGTCGCCAAAGAAGACCCATTCAGCGAAACCGATGCCATCACCCTAGCTAGCAATCCAGTCATCCACCCAGCCCTAGAATCTGAGGACGCTGAGCCGGGCTCAACCCAAGGAGCAAAGCAGCAATCAAAAGAGGAGCTGGAGCGAAATCTATCCCATCCCGAAGCGTCGCCAGCTCAGGAAGACCAGGCACAGCTACAAACATCAGAGGCAGCGAAGTCGCCGAAGGTTGAAGCTGAATCCAAGGCGGAACCTGGGGGCCTGTCGACAGCGCAGCAGGTGGCAGCGAAGGCGACAGAGCCGCCGCCGGAGGCCGAGGCCACGCTATCGCCCATGCTACCCGACTTCGAGCCGGGGTCGCCGGGGTCGCCAGATCCAGATCCAGAAGGTTCGGAAGATCCATTCGGCGATCTGGGTCAGAAGACCGATCTGGGTCGAGGTAGCCCAATGGCGGATGGACAGCAGGGGGGTGCGCCTCCAGATGGAGAGGAGGACACGGGGACAATGGCGGCAGCGGCGGCGGCGGAAGCCGAAGATGACCAGGAGCGGGTTTCGGAGCGGGGCCCTGACTCGTCGCCAGTCGGGAATGTGAGCCCCGTGGAGGAAGCTGGAGTCGCGCTACCATCCGGGGGTTATGGCGCAGGCGATGACGCTCCTTCTGAGGCGGAGGCGGAGGCGGAGGCGTCGAAGCTAGGAGGTGGTCGTAAGGCGACGGAGGTGGCAGAGAAGGAAGAGGACCGGTCAGTTCGTACCGAGGTGATGGCGGCTGCAGCGGCCGATGATGTTGCAGAAGATGGACGCGGCGGCGACCCGCTGGCGGCGGCTGACGGCGACGCCGCCCCCGGGCCGGCCGCCGCCGTCGTAGCCTCAGAAAACGCCGAGGATGCAGTAGCGGCGGCGGGAGCGGGGGGGGACGCAGAGGATCTAATGTATGCGGGTGGAGATGCCGATGGCCACGGCGACGGCAAGGCAGGGTCCGCCGGCGGCGGCGGCGAGGCTGAGGCTGGAGCGTTGTCCACATCAATGGACGAGCTCGGCGAGTACAAGCCATTGTACGGCGAAGGAACTACAGAGGTGGAGGAGCCTGTTGCCGTCGTCGGTGCTACTGCCGCTGACGTCGACGCCGCTGCCGTCGGCAGCAAGGGTACGGATGCTAAAGCAGGGGATGGAGAGTCGGACGGCGTGGCGGCGGAGGCGGCGGAGGTAGCGGCGGAGGCGGCGGCGGAACTGGGTCGTGAACAAGAGTCGGTGGCGCCGGAGCTCCAACAACCAGATGGGGGAGGGGATGAGCCGCTGGGGGTAGCGGCGGCGGGGGAGGAGGAAGAGGACAAAGAAGTGAAAATGGCGGCGGCGGCGGCAGCGGCGAAAGATGCTGGAGATCTGGCAGCGGCGGTGGCGTCAGCCGTACAAGATCATCCGCTCGACCAGCAGGAAGCTGAGCGGCAGCTGCGGGCCGAGGATTCCATGGACGCTGATGTTGGCGGTGGCGAAGGTCAGATGTACGGAAATCCTGAGCGTGAGGTTAGTGCAGCCGCCGCTGCCGCCGCTGCCGCCGCTGAAGTACCAGCCAGTGAGCCGGCGTTGGCGGAAGTGAAGCCGGCAGTCGAAGCAGCGGAGGCAAGGTCTGGGAGGGGTACGGCAAGCGAGCCGGAGCGCGAGGGTAGTCTCCGCAACAGTCGTAGCGGCAGCCAAAACAGCCGCGGTAGCGGCGGCGGCCGTAGCAGCCGGCGCCCACAGCCCGCAACGGTTGAAAAGATCGCGTCGGCCGCCAGCAGTACGGCACCCCCCGCCGATCCCGGCACTGCCTCCGCCGATGTCGACGCCGACGTGTACGACGATGACGGCGGCGACGGCGATGTGTACACGGACCCTGAGCAGGCTCATGAAGACGATGAAAAGAGCTCATCACGGGTGAGCTCAGACGCAGTACGGCAATCGCTGCCGCCGCAACCGTCGCAACGGCAGACAAACTCACAACCGCAGCAGCAGCAGCAGCAGGACCACCTGCCGGAGCTGTCATCGGCGGGACCGTCAGGACCTCTGTCGTACGATGAGCAGCAGCAGCGCAAGAAGCAAGCAGCCACCGGCAGCGGCAGCGGCGACGCCGCCAGGTCCCCCGGGTCCGTTCCCTCTTCGCCGCCAGGGCTGCCGCCGGTTGTGCCCCCCTTGTTCCCGCCCATCCACGCCTCCGCGTCCTCGCCCAAGTCATCTCCATCATCCACCCAGGACCAGCAACAAAAACAACAACAACAAATAAAACAAAAGGAACAAAAGCAGCGCAAAGAGCAACAGCAGCAACAGCAACAGCATCCTCCGTCACCCCGCAGCACACGCGACGTACCAGGAAAGGCCGCCGCCGCCGCCGCTGCCGCCGCCATCCCTGCTGGTACCGGTGGCGCCACTTCGGGTGGGGCCAAGGCTAAGGGGAAGACAGAGGCAGGGGCCCACCACGCCGCCGCCGCCGCCGCCGCCACCGCCACGGGTGCGGGTGCTACTGCACCCCGTAGGGAATCTAGGAACCCTTCCACCTCCCGGCAGCAGACCTCTCCATATGGGTCCAAACCCAACCCCAAGCCGCAACAACAGCAGCAGGGCCCCAAGCAGCAGCAGCAGCAGCAGCAGCAGGAGGCGGAGCACAAGCAGCCAGCGAAGGACCCGTCGGCGACGACGGCGGCGGCAGCAGCAGCAAACAGCGGCGGCGGCGGCGGCGGCGGTGGCGGCGGCGGCCGCCCTGCGCGACTACGAGACGTGGTGGCGTCGTCGCCGGATGCCCCAGATCCCGAAAGCATAACCCAGGTGTGTGTCCTGTGTGCTGTGGGTGCTGTGTGTTGTGCAACCAAAGGGGAAGGGGAAGGAGCCCTTTGGTGCTGTATGCTGTGGGTGTTATTTTGATCCGGATCTAGGCCGCGGGTAGGCGGCGGCGGCGAGGATCGCGACCCGCGCAAGTGTGTATATCAAGGCACGAACACATGAGCCCTTACGAATATTTACCCCAACGCCCCCATCACCCACAATCCTGCCCTTTCTCACAACCGCTCCAATCCCCACCACACCCCTCACCCCTCACCCGTCACCCGTCACCCCTCACCCGTCACCACAGCAATACCTCGCTCTGCTGCACGCGGGGGAGCTCAATCGGCGACCCAAGACGGCTCCGGAGGCTGCTGCGCCAGGTGGGACGGATAGATGGCAGGGCAGGGACTGGGGGCAGGGACTGGGGGGGGGGATGTCGGTGTGTATATGCGGGAAGTACTCGGGGAGTTCAGAGCAGTTCTCGACCGCCTCCTCCTCCTCCTCCTCCTCCTCCTCTCAACCGCCTTCCTTGTCCCCGCGCACCTGGTCCTCATACGCCTATCCACATGTTTGTCCGCACCTTCGCAAAGCTTCCTTCACCCCTTCCTTCACCCTTCCTTCACCCTTCCTTCACCCTTCCTTCACCCCTTCCTTCACCCCTTCCGTCACCCCTTCCTTCACCTCTTCCTTCACCTCTTCCTTCACCCTTCCTTCACCCTTCCTTCACCCTTCCTTCACCCTTCCTTCACCCTTCCTTCACCCCTTCCGTCACCCCTTCCGTCACCCCTTCCTTCACCTCTTCCTTCACCTCTTCCTTCACCCTTCCTTCACCCCTTCCTTCACCCCTTCCGTCACCCCTTCCTTCACCCCTTCCTCCTCACCTCTTCCTTCACCCCTTCCTCCTCACCTCCCGGTGGTGGTGCTGTGCAGGTTCGTCCACCACGCCCAGGTCAGCCGCCGGCAGCGGTGCCGCTGCCGCCATGGCCCTCACCAGCCCCAACAGCAGCAGCAGCAGCAACAACAACACTACTTTCTCGCAGCCGCACAGCCCCCACAATCCTAACAACAAATCCCCCAGCCCCCCCCGACCAGGCACCGGTCACAGCGCCGCCAGCGGCAACAGCAGCACCCTTACGGCGCAGGGCATGGAGCTGGCTAGGCTGCAGGCGAAGGCGGCATGGGAGGTGTCGCCGATACGGCGTGCGAGGTGGGGCCTGTGGTGGGGCCTGTGGTGGGGCCTGTGGTGGGGCCTGTGGTGCGCCTTTTCACGACAGTCTAAACATGATGGTGATGTAACTAACTGATGGTGGCATGTGACGAAAAACATGATGCATTAGGCCCCTGGCTGAAGACTGACTAGACACGTGTTTGACTGGTTTTGGGTTCGGGGTGGGATGGGGTGGGGTGGGATGGGGTGGTTTGCAAGGATTGCGAAATTGGATGATGAGTTGAAGGAGGGGTACGGCATGACGGAGTAACGGTACGTCAGGGGCTAACCAACCATCCAACCACCCAACCACCACATGGCGATGAATTTCCGCGTCACACTCCCACTTCTTACCTGAACCAATTCGTACCTCGAACCGATTCGTACACCTACCCCTGACGGTCTGCCCCTCCAGGCACACAAACAGCGACAACCAAAGCGACAGCGGCGGCGGCGGCAAGTTGCTGCCGCCGCTGGGCAACGGCGGCGGTGGTGCTGACCCCACGTCGTACAGGAGCCCTAGCGGCGGCGGCGGCGGCGGCCCTACTTCCCCCAGCCGTACCGGCGCCAAGACCGGCCCCAAATCGGGTGATGGGCCGTCCTCAGCGCAGCGGACCTTCATTCCCCGCCCAACCATTTCCGCGGCACCGTACCCCAAAATCTTCTCGCCAGGACCCGGATCTTACTCCCCTTCGGTACGACATGGCGCGCATGCCGTACGTCGACATGCATGTCTTCGCTGTTATACCCAGCCCGCTGGTATACCCACAGCGGCTTTTGCAGAGGTTTCACTTGCACGATACACCACACGATTCTACATATACACCTTCCCCCCTCCAACACCCTTCCCCCTCCAACACCTTCCCCCTCCAACACCCCCCTCCAACACCTTCCCCCTCCAACACCTTCCCCCTACAACACCTTCCCCCTCCAACAACCCCCTCCAACAACCCCCGCCCAACCCCTCACCACCCCAAACCCCCCACCCCACCCCACCCACCCGCAGGTATCTCGCCAAGGGGACAGCTCCCACCTGGGCGGGCAGTCCTTTGGCGGTGGCTCCCCCCCGCGGGCCTGGGCCTTTGGCGCCGCCCGGCAGCGTCCCCCCCATGTTTGCATCCACCACCCGAACGCATCCCCTGGTCCCGTGTACCTGCCCTCCAAGGACGGGCTGTCTACCTGGCCTGCGCAGGCGAACCCCAAGTGAGAGCGGAGGGGGAGGAGGGGGAGGGAGGAAAAGGGGAGGAAAAGGGGAGGGAAGGAAGGAGAGAGGGAGGGAGGGGAGAGGGAGGGAGGAGACTGAAGAATTAGGCGCGGAGGGGGGCAGGGAAGAAGCAAAAGGTTGCCTTGTCGACACACCTCCAAAACGGCTCAACGGCTGGAGTAGCCAGTCCAACGGACTGGTGACGGTCGCAATGACGCGATGATGATAATGATGATGATGGGGATGTGGAGAAAGGAAGGGAGGACCGTTAAGAGGAAGGAATTCAGTCACGCAAGACATTTTCCCTCGGTAGAGAGTAAACACTCCCTCTCGATATCTCTAGCCCCCGTGCCCCTAATCAGCTCCCTACCCGCCGCATCCCACCGGCGTTTTTCCTTCTTTTCCTCCTCCCTCCCTCCCTCCCTTCCTCCTGGAGAAAACCTATCCCCTTTACCACCCGGCGCTCTTTCCCGCCGCCGCCGCGGCCTTGAAGCTAAGAAAGGGAGTTAGTTATTGCTGTGTTTTGCTGTGTTTTGCTGTTCGTGCCATTGCGCTTTTTCCGTAGGTTCGAGCGCAACCTGCCCGGCGGTCGCTTCATCCTCACCGCCGGCCAGCCCGGCAACGCACCGATGTTCAACCCCGGCCCGGGGTCCTACCAGCCGGAAACCAACGCAGCCGGTGACCCCCTCAGCCCGGGACGCAGCGGCGCCATGCCCGCCTACTCCTTCGCACACACACGCAAACTGCTCACGCCAGCGACCGACGGCGCCGCGCTTCCCGTACTTTCCAAAGAGCATGTACGGGAGTACTTTGGCACGTTATCGCCGGGGCCGGCGCAATACTCGCCCGACACGTCGCCCACTCGTACGGCAGCGCCCGCCTATTCTGTGGCGGGTCGTCGCAAGTGCTGGTTCGACCCCGTGGAGCTGTCCCCCGGACCCATCTACAAGCCGAATGAGCTGGACAGGAAGGGGGGGCACTCGTTGGGGGATTCGCCGTATGCCACGATCGGCAAGGGACCAAAGGTAAGAGTGGGTGTGGGTGTGGGTGTGTGTGCGTGAATGTGGGTGTGAGTGTGTGTGGGTGTGGGTGGGTGGGTGGGTGGGTGGGTGGGTGGGGGGTGTGAGTGGGTGGGTGTGGGTGGGTGTGCGCGTGTGTGGGTGTGTGTATTACACCTTGAGTTGCGTTTTACTCTCCGAAGGTGTAACCTGTAGGGCGTTAGGGTTTAAGGAAGCAGCTTATTGTACGAATGATGAGATTTGAAAAATGAGCAACTTTGCTCGATGTGATTGTGTGCGTTTATTGCTGCTTTCCGCCACACACCTTGTCTTATACCGCCCGCCCTTCCGGCACTGTTGAACCGGCATTTCGCCACCTTAAACCACCTTAAACCACCGTCCCGCCACTCCTGCCGCCTCTCCCCTGCCGCCTCTCTCCCGGCTGTGCGGCCCCCCTACCGCCCCATCGCTCCACCACTCGTACAACCCCCCCCCCCCTTCAACCTCCTCCGACCGCCTCCCTGACGCTGGCACCGCTGCAGTTCCACGACCCAACCCATGCCCTGTCCTCGAGTGCCTGGCTCAGCTTCAACCACGCAAGACGCGCCAACTACGGCATCCACAGCCCCGGCCCGGTGTACCTGCCGAACGACCCACGGGCCCCTCGCATCCCCTCACCCTCGCTGGCCACCGGGCCCTTGGACCGTTTCTCCGCGCGAAATGAGACGGGCAGATTGCAGTGATCTGGGGTGGCGGGTACACGGGTGGGGATGGGGGGGGTTTGGGGCCCCCCGCCTGGTGAGAGAGCGGGTGCGGCGGGTGGGGCGGGGTAGGAAAAGGAAAACCATTGTCGACCTGCGGGGTCAGTGGTTTGGTTTAAAAAAACAGTAATTTGGCGCGCGCGCGCGCGCGCGCGCGCGGGGGGGGCGAGGAATGCGGGTGCGAACGAAACAAAATGGCCCCCGGAAAGCGGCTCAGCGGGTCACTTTTTTCGATCTTGCGGCAGTTTCGGGAACCTGGGGGAGGACATGAAATATGGGGGGTTAGGCGCAAGCTATAGTAGATAGAGGAAAAACGTTTTTGGCGAGATGAGGGTTGCGAAAATTAGTAGAGCTGGTCCTGGCTACTTAGGGGGGGAGTTCCTACCCGAATGATGTTGGATGATGCCTCCAAGGAAGACAGCTGATGAAGGAAAAATCAGAATCCTCAAATCTTTTGAGGAGGTGAAGGGGCAGGAGGAGGAGAACGTGGTACACAGGGGGTTTTAAGTAAAGGGAAGCAATAGTTGTTTTAGGGTTTTAGGGTTTTAGGGATTTAGCGGCGCAAGGAACATCGCCGGTTACCGCGTGTAGAATGAATTGACATTTCTTCTCCGGACTTCTCCGCAGATAGATAAGGCGGATGTCTGTGCGCGTGGGCGTGCTTTTGTTCTATTATGCAACGACTTGTGCTTTAGACGTATGGTTGTAATTTTAGATTAGCAGTAGTTGACTGCTTTGCACAGTTCGGTAAGTAGATTTGGCCTTGTGTTTCGCGGCACTGCGCAATTACATATCCGTTTGTCCATTGGTTCGACACATTACCTATGTCTTGCATATCGTCTACATCGATGTTCAATGAATACATTTATTCCATATACTGCGCGTGCCGTGTTTAAGTAGCTCCTCGCACAATCGTGTACTTTGGGTTATAGAGTTTTACGGTTTAACGTGTACGGCTGCGATACGTCGTTACTTATGACCGGCGTGGTACTGGTCCCTTGTTATTACAACGATGTATACGTACTATACGAACCCTTCCTCTTCATCCTATTCTGATACACTCATGCTCATAACACTAACATCAGAACACTGACTCTTCGGATCACTTACGGTTTCGAATATAAACAACACCGAGTGGAACAAGCAATAAATTGTACATCGTCCATTCAAAAAAACCCAAACATCTTAGCCACCGAACTAATCAAAGACAATCAATTCTCTCCAAAAAATAACAGCCTGGATTGGGGCAGAAAATACAAGAGAATATACACAACCCAGCGAACAGCAGCATACTATTCGTGCGAGAGGTTCATATGGTGCACCGAAGGAATCTTCATTATACAAAGCCCTCACTATAACCTTACTATCACTTCAATACACAATTTGTACGTTGTCTAAACTAACTGGATCGCAAAATGACATGCAAATCACAATCAAACCCTTGCCACGTGACACACGAATAGAACAATCATCTGATGTTATTTTTACTTGTCGTCGCCGGTGACCTTCTCCAGGAAGCCGGTAACGGAAGACTTCACCGCGTCACTGCGATGTGGTGCGGAATGGGGGAAGGGTTAGCAGACAGGCCGAACGTGTCAACACATCAGGCATATTGTCAAAACACATACCATTAGCTGTTCTGATCCCGTTCTTAGGGATCAGAACGTAGCGCACGCTAGATTTATCATCATAAAATGTAGCTTTCGTTATCTATTTACCGTCCTGCAATTAACCTTGCGACAAAACTCGTGTTCAAGTACAACACAGCTTCCTTACCGCTCAACAGGGTCGGTCGTCAGCTTGAAGATGTAGTACCCGGTGACACCAAGCCCCAAGAGCTTCAGAATAGTGCTAACGACCGGGATGCGATCCACCACGTCAATGGTCGCTGCATGCAGGGTAGAGCGCGTGTGAAGCAGGGCAGTCACACTGTCAGGGGTATCATTCGGAATGACGATTCGAATTCCCCGCATCAAACGGACAGAAACAATCCATTGTTTTATGCAGGCGCAATCCTAAATAGGTAAACTGGGCACCTTAAATTCATGTTTAGATCCTCAAGTACCGGCAACTGCTGCTGTAGAATGTTGTACTTAGGGTACAACACATTAACGCCCAATATCGCGAACCAGCAGCGCAGCACTAACAGAGAAGCTATGATGGCGCGTCAACTACACCGCAGCTAGCAGTCTAACCACCCAGGTGCACACCGTACTCACCGCCAATCGCTACAGATTAGTGTTGTGACGCAGTGTCCCGTGTATATGTACAAGGTGGCGAGGTAAAGGACCATTGGTGACCAAAATCGCGAAACAGGGGGAAGGGCCAGTGGGGTGGCACAAAGTTAAGCTATATGGGATACAGGCGCGTGCCGATGTCGCTGGGCGACAGCGAGCCATTCCTGAAACTGGCCATCAAACGCGAAACACACACGAATGATGGTAGCAGGCATGATGGGCCAAATGGGTCCTGGACAAATTGCCCAGTAAACAACTGGTGGACTGTTAACTTTATTCGGTTCTCAGCACGAAGGCAAAGAGGACCCCCCTGCAGCAGCAGCAGCAGCAGCAGCAGCAGCACTACCAGCAGCTTGGTTGCTCGAGCATTAAGCAGGGAGCAGGCAGTAATGAGCACACGCTCGGACACACCCAAGGGAGCCGGAGCCGGAAGAAGACTGCATCACCAATGAAACCCAGCCCAACTCGGCCCAGGTCAGCTCCATAGACCACCTACCGATCTGGGCAATCACGACACCAATGACAATAGCCACCACAGCAGGCTTCTCGCTATCCTCCGTGGCCTCCCACCTGGTCTGTTAGGACGAGGTAATGAAGACCGGTTTGAGACCAATTCGACAAATTGAGGAAAAGTTCTTGTACGCAGACAGTATACAGACGGATTTCAAGTCTAATTGTGTTTGTTGGAGCCCGAAGATGCATGTCCATGGTAATCTCCAACGATATCGCGCACCTTCATCCAGGTCCAGGCCTCCGTCGCAGCAGTTTGGACTTTCTGAAGGTTCTCATTGACTGGAGTGCTGGCTGGCTCGGCAGACGCCCTGATCACCACTGCGGTTTCGAAGATGTGATCTCCGTCAGTTGTCGGAATTTCCGAGACAGGGGAAGGGCCACTTAGGGTTTTAGGCTCGAATCTATAAGCAACATACATCTAGCAGCAACTTACTCTTACGGGTCGCGGAACGGGCAGCCGGGCGGACAGCCACACTCCGAACGGTCCTGCTGTGCATCGGGACCGTTCCCAAAACAGCTAGGCGGGTCAAAATCCCTGCTGCTCATTTTTCACAATCAGTGGATGGCTATAGTTCTCACCGGTGTGCGACGGCCAAAGCAGTTGCGTTGCGAACGGTGATAGCCATTTCAACCGCTTGTCAAGACACAAGACTTATCAACGGAAACAGTAATACCAAACACTGTATACTGGGTAAGACCTATAAATGTCAAGTCTACTTTCCTGTGCGTATAAAAAGTTAACAAAGCTGCTTCTTATAGTATGCAGCGAACCGACGGCGGCAAATATCTCTACGACTGCCGTACAGGTACGTGCGCGTTTGAATCGCCGACCTCAACTGCGGGACTACAAATATTGCATTTCGTGAGTATGATACCGATGGTAAGCTGATAGCATCCATTGGCGTCAACATTGTGTCGTCTTGCCCGCACAGGTATTTCCAGCTATTTAGATGCCACTAGCCATAATTTTCCGCATAGGCTCAGATTTTCTGTTGTTTGGCCATCAATCTATTGTGCATATTTCTGCTCTCAAGGTATTCACTTTGATAGGCGTGCTTGTCTCGACAAACGTAGTGTCTCACCTCCTTAACGAGAAGGCTTCCGCCACTGTTTCACCCTTTCGCTATCTAACTACTTGGGAAACAAAAGGTTCTGTTTTGGGAGTCATTAGCTGCTCTAGAGGCTGCAGCTGTTGTCCGTTGGGCCAAGCGTTTCTTCAAGCGTTACCGAGCTAGCTGCAGAAGAGCATCCCCGAATGCAGACCTGAGGCTATCCAGTAATAATAATGATAATATGTTTAAGTAGAATGTATGTTGGCTTTCTCGGGGTTGGCAACGACTATCATACTCGTCGATCGGATGTGATGGAACCTAAGATTTCCAGGGCCAACTATCAGCAGACAAAGCACAAACAAAAACTTTTAAATCTGACATCTTCTGCGTCTACACCACGGTTATTTGTTTTAGGGGTGTTGTGGAGCTAAAGTGTCGCGTGTTACAAATGCCGCGTGTGCATTGACAAAAGTAACCCGCACTCAGGCTAGCCTGACGCACATGCGTTGCGTTGTCTACCGCAGCATCCCTATCAAGCCGTATACCCACCAGCGCACCACCAATGGAATCGCCGACAATCATCACCTTATTGCTTACATACTCTTTAAGTACCTCGGGGGCCACAGTCGTCGGGCCCCCCACCCCCTACAGTTGGCCCCCAGCTTCTTCCTGGCGCTAAGGCAGGCTAGGAGATGTGGCGGCAGCAGTCGGTGTCCGTGAGCCACAGCACATACCATGAAGTGCTTTACCTTGTAGCTCTGCACAATCGCCATCGGCACCATCGGCATGGCCAGGGAAGGCGCCATCGCTGTTAACAGCGATCTTCCCTCCCCCAGCCCCCCCAATGTTCGCCTTGAGGTCCTGACCATGCGCAAAACCCTTAGCAGCACAAGTCTTGGCCCGATGGTCGTACATGTCATCACACAGCGTCACGGTCAATAGCAATACGTGATCTTTAATCCAAGGAAAGCCTTGGATGCTGTGCACGATGCGATGGATTCTAGGCGTGGAGGTCAACACTTCCGTGCTTTTGTTATAATAAGGTTTTACGACATTCTAATGGATAACTGTAGGTTTTCTGAGTGAACCGAAAGAAAACCAAGCTTTCTTGTGTCTTTGCCGAGAGCGAACTCTGTGGAGATGTTTCCTACCCGCAAGCAAAGGACGATCAAGCATAATCGGGACAAAGCAGTCCGACATCGATCCTATTTTTCCGATATTCCACGGAGCTCCAGGGTTGTTGATGTTAAATCCTGAGTTATATCTATAACCGGTAGTCCTCACCACCAAGGTACATCAATCTCTGCCGGGACAAGCTGGGGTTGCGTTGAGACTCGCTGCTTACAACTCCCACCGACAGACCGCGGACAGTATGTCACGAGGGTCCGAAACCCCGACCAGACGCCTGTTCACAAGCACAAACAGCAGAGCTCATAATGACAGATTAAATTATCGGCTAATTTTAAAACTGATATTGTTCCTGCCCCCTCTACGTGCTTTCGTCCTGACTCCTAGCGAGTCATCGCACAGCCCTGCCAGACGGACCAAGAAAGTCACGACCCACATTATCTAGAATCGATCGATTTAGGAAGGAATCAAATGCCAAATAATTATTTATTTGTTGCCCTTTGCCTGCGATCGTCTCAATCCTGAGAAGTTGCATTAACTTCCATCCATGAAAAACCCCTTTCCGACAAACGCACAAATGCTGAAGTCTTTGCAAATCCGTTTTGAAACATCAGACCCACATAGCTCTTGCAAATTCGTTGGCTTGGGTTAAGATAGCACGCCACCTTGCAGAAAGCAATTACTAGCCTAATCGGACACGTAATGTTTTATTGGAAACCATCTTATGATACGTTTTAGCAATAGCTAACGCGGGGTTGAGGACTTGCACGCCGAGCCTGCATATGCTGGTCGACAGCCGATAGCCCAGATAGTTAGTACTGCCAAGATCATTGCATCACAGCCTGTTTTATATAACATGTACTACCGCGGTTCGCTGGATCGCAATGCTCATCAGGACGCCACGGCGTCGATGCGAGAAAGGTAACACCTTCATGCGGCGGCGAGCGTGAACAACCCGGCACCCAACATCGCCATTCCAATAGCCGCATGCCAAAAACCCTCAAAAAGAGTTTTACGATGCACTCCTCGGGCGCCGAAGCTCCTATCTAGGCTTCCATCCAACGCCCCATCACCTGAACACACATTTCCTATCCATTGACCACTCAACAGCCTTGGTCCTGTGCTCCTTCCTGCCATGAAACACCGGGAACTTAACCTCTCCTCACCATCTCACCCACCTCTTTGCCGTGACCCCCTCCTATCCGAGACTGACGCGTTGCTTTCGTTGATGATGCCGTGTCACCTCGACCCCCTCCAACACATACATACATACATACACACATACAAATGCGCAGCGAGCCCCTCATGTCAGGCCTGGCTTCCAGCAGCCCCCCTGGTCAGCAGAAAACCGCCCCCGGTCAAGCCACCACTACCAGAACCACAACCACCACAACCACCACAGTGTTCGCTGCCGTACCAGTGACCCAACCGCCAAGGCGGCTAGACAACAGCGACGCCGTTGGCGCCAGCGACGCCGATGGCGGCAGCTGTACGGAACCACATAGCGATGTGAATTTCCTCCGGTCGTCCATGTCGCCCACGGTGGAGAGCGCGGAGGAGATTTTGCAGGTGCGTGTGTGTGTGTATGCGTAGGTAGGTGACGTCCGCAGTAAAATATTTTGAAGGGGCAGCGAGGCCAGTGGGTCGGTGGGTCGGTCGAATGACACGTACGTACATACATGCGCACAAACATACGTACATACATACATACGTACACACTGCCCTCCTCCCAGGCCGTAGAGTTGGAACTGGAGCAGAGCCCCCTCCTGCTCAGCCGCCGGAGCTCAACACCCACGTACCTGGCGTTGCGAGTGTGAGTGTCCAGGGAGGGGCCGGAAGGTGGGAATGCAGGAGGACAGGGCGGGCTTGCCACTGGATGGCTCCAAGGGCTATCCCTTAATAAAGCAAGGAAAACCCTAAAACCTACCCTAAAACCCTAAAACCTCCCTTCACCCCAAATTTGAGACCGTCAAAATTGAAATCCGTCTTTCTCCCAGGACGGCGCGCCCCCAGGGCGCCAAATCCCCGGTCTCACCCGGACTCGGACTTAGCGCCACAGCAGTAGCAGCAGCAGCAGTAGCGGCCCCAGGTGCCACGGCGTTACCTACCGGCAGCAGCATTGCCGGGTCGTCAGCGTCCCGTGGGTCCAGCCTGGGTGGTGCCCCGTCACTGGGCCCCACAGCCTGGCTGCAACAGCACCAACAGCACCAATACCAACAGTTCCTTCCGCAACAGCATTACGCCACTACTATCATGACCAACGGCACCGCTTCAACCACCACAACGGCCCCAACTACCGCAACCACCAGCGGTGTAGCAGGCCGCCAGCCTTTGATGGAGCAGTACTTGGAGCACCAGACGTGGCAGCAGCACCACCTCGCGCAGAGGAACCTGCACAAAGAGGAGCTACAGCCGCTGCTACAGCCGCCGCCGCCGCCGCAAGTTGTCCCGGCGACACAAGGGGCTGAGGCAGCTGTAGCAGCGGCGGCGGAGCCAGGAGAGGTGGCGGCGGCGGACGCCAGCGCGCACTCCCGGCTAGTCGCTTCCGCGTCTTTCAGTACGGGGCTGCTTGGAGAGGTCTGCGATACCGCCATGATCGCTGGCGGCGCCGCCGCCGCCTTCGCCTCCGCATCGGCAGCAGTAGCACTTCCGACGCCGCGACTCGGAGCTGCACCTGAGGGTGCTACAGCTAATGCTACAGCAGTTGCGACGAGAGCAGCAGCTAGTCCCTTTGCGATAGCGGCAGCAGCAGCTGCAGCGGCGAATCTACCGGCGGCGGCGGGGGTCGCGGCAGCGGCGGCGCCCGGCGCCGCTAGGGCGGCAGTCTGGGGCGTTGGAGGGGATGGCGGGGCTCCGCAGCGCAGCTACGCGTCGGCGTCTGTCGTGCAGCCACGTCAGCAGTTGCCTCCCGGCGGAGGTGGTGGTAGCGGAGGCGGGTCGCAGCGCAGCCACGCGGCGGCGGTGTCTGTGCTGCCGTCGAGGCTGCAGGCGGCGGGGGGCCTTGGCGGCGGCGGCGGCGGCGGCGGCGGCAGCTTCCATGCCGGGGGCGGCGGCGGGACTGGGACCGGTATGGAGAAGAAAGTGGCGATTGCCGGGGTGCGAACCTGGCTCAAGGTGACGGCGAGGGCGGAGGGGGGAACCTATGTAATGGATGTAATGACTCTGTAACGCCCTCTCCTAGGATCTACCTTACCGACCCGTGGGTCGGAGATAGACCTAATCAAAATCAATCTGGCCCGACCTGCTGTTTAGGTTCCGCCTCATTCATCTGAATCCGGATCCGATTCCGGATCTGGATCTGGATCTGTTTCCGGACCCGCCTCATGCCGCTGTCCCATACCAACGCTTTACCGAGAATTACGCATCCTGTCGCGCCCTGTCCTGTCCTGTCATGTCCTCCCTGGGTCGGGTCGGGTCGGGTCGGGGCGGGGCGGGGCGGATGCTGCCAGGTGCTGCCCGACGGTTCCGCGACCATCGTACAACTGGATCGGGCGCAGCTGGGGCTGCAGTACGGCGTACAGCTGCGGGACTTCAGGTACTATGGCTGACGAAAGGTTGAAATGTACGGGACCTTTTTACGGCAATGTAACATCGGGATTTCGCCAGGACCAGCGAGCTCATTGCGTGTTTGGTGGAAAGCCGTGTAGCCGGACCGGACCTGACCTCCGGGCCCCCTCCTACTGGTCAGTTCTGCTTCTTGTACACTCTTTCCTTGGCAGCAGCAGCTTCACTCCTTCGTGGTTCGTCTTTTCTCCCCCCTGCCCCCCCCGCCCCCCCTGCACAACCCCCCCCAGGGTTTTGGACCCCGTGCTGGGTGCCACGTACCCGGCCTGCCTGCTGTGCCGCGATGGGGCTCTGATCGTCAACCTCGACCCCATCAAGGTGCGAGGAAATTGATTTTTAAGACTATATTAATATATATTAGTGTTAAAGAAGTGACGTTTTTTCCTGGATTAGCTTTTTTCAGCTCCGCATAAGTAGCGCCTCCTTTTCGATTATTAATGCTACATGCAGACATGCAGACATACACTCCTTGGCAGGTGGCTGGCAGAGGTTAAGGCCTGACATCTGTTCTCGGAGTGCCCGGGGTGGTGAAAGGGGAGGTGGCCCCCCATCTTATGGACGGTGTAGGACATGATTATATCAACTTGCGAGCTGACCAGGAACTAAGTAGAGGCGCCGCTGATCCGCTAGATTTGGTTGGATGCTGGTGGTGAGTTGCTGAACCCAACGAATACATTCTGAAGTTGGATGGGGTGAATGGATTGGGGTGCCCCTCTAGCACGGGAGAGCAGGGAATTGCCTCGGGAAGGAGGCCACTGGTGAAGCTTAACCACCCTGTAACAACATACATACATACACTCCTCCGCTGCCCCCTCTCGATCCCCAGGTGATCGTCACCGCCCACTTTGCGCTGGTGAACCACGCGGAATCCGACAAGGTAGGATACCGTACATTCCTCGTACGCTTCCGTACATCCCTCTACCTATCGTACTGGTAAACGTTTGTGCGCTGTGATCCCCACAAGTCATACGCTATGTACGATACTTGTAGTGCCGTATATGTTTCCAACACCACCTTCTCCCCCGCCCCCCAACCCCCCACTACTTTACGGATTGGCTATACTATTCAGCTTTTTATTTCTGGCGGCTTAGGTAGGTAGGAGTTCCAACATCTACGTCACTTCGTCATCCCGAGGTTACAGTCGTCACAGTCGCCACGGACGCCTTTCGGTCAGTTTTTACGTTTGCTACTATCTTGCCCTGGCAGCAGCTTCAATCGCGTGTGGTTCGTCTTTCCCCCCACCCACCCCCCAACCCCCCACACAGCTGTTCCAACTATAAATGCTGCCACCCGAACACCCCGTCATAGGCCCGACCGTTCATTGAAGAGCTGAAACGGCGGTTGCACAACTACCTAACCACCAAGCACGCCGCTCAGCAACCGCCTGCCGTACTGCCGGCGGAAGCGACGGCAGCAGCGGTCGAAGCCGGGGCGACGACTGCGGCTGATCATCTCCCGTCTCATGTACGGCATGCACCGCCGCCGCCGCTACCGCCGCTACCGCCGCAAGAAGAACGGGAACGGCAGCAAGCTACCTCCCAAAATGAAGAGACACCACCAGCGGCGGCGGCAGTGGCAGCGGCAGCTGGGGCTTTAGCACACCCTGGCGCAGAGGGTCAGGTAGGGCTGGACGGAGGAGGTCATGAAGTAGAGTTTAGGGAAGAGAGTACTCGTTCCAGCACATCATTGCCGTACTGCCGTACTTCTATTCAGATATATCACACCTAATGACAAATTATTGGATCTACGGGTTGATATCACTGTTAAGGCCAATTAAGTTAAGGCAAATCTCCACCCCTACAGGCGCATAAGACACCGTTCGCCCCCCGACTAGCCAACACGGTGGAGATCTTGTTTATAAATCGGAACATTAAAGCCCTTAATGCCGTACTACCTAACAGTAACCGCGCCCAGCCGTGTTGTTTTCGAAGGGAACCATGCTTGAACAACCCTAAAGTCCACATCAAATCTCTAAAACTCCTAAAACCCCCGTCCTCATCCTCATCGTCATCCTTCCTCCCCTCTCCCCCTCTCCCCCACACTCTTTTGCCCTAGCAGCAGCTTCACTCGTGTGTGGTTCGTCTTTCCCCCTCTCCCCCATTCCAAACGGACGCGACAGGGCCGTATGGCGAATGTGGCCAATGCCCTCCTGTCCCTCCTGCCGCAACATGTACGACCAGGGCCCGGCCACGCCGCCGCCGCCGCCGCCAGCGGCGGCGGCGACGGCAGCAGCACCGCCTACGACGGCATACAGATACTGCCGACGCGGTTGCTACAACTTCGGCGGCAAGGCTTATCGGCAGGGTCGTTGGTGTCGTTGCTAGGACCTGGCGGCGGTGGCGGCGGGGGCGGTGTTGGTGGGGGGGGCGGTGGTGAGGGGCAGCAGGTCAGCGAGCTGGTGGCGTCGATGCCGTTCGAGCTGCGTGCGCTCGAGGTGGTTTTGGAGCAGGTACGGCATCGGGGATTTCGCAGTAGGTAATGGCAGTAGCCAGCCTGACTGCCGGAGGGGGGACCAGGCTGGTCAAAAAAATTCCAAGTCCCGTTAGTCCAAAACCGTTTCGAAACTCCCCGTAAATAAAATACCGTCTCTATCCGTACACACACTTGCCGAGCGGGTTTCAAACCCTGCTAACCGTACCAACCACCGCCACAACCAGCCGGCGTAACCGCCAACCGCCACACTCACATATAATATCGCATTTGAGCTAACCCGGACTACTTCAAATGTACCGCGATCCAACCTACCCACGTTAACGATTTTAACCAAAACCTAACCAACCACCATCCCAACCATCCTATCCACTAAACCGTCCAACCGCCAACCGCCAGACGGTTGGTCTGTTGGACGCTCAAGCCACCGAGCTGGAACGCGCCACCCGCATGGCCCTGGACGAGCTGACTCGCAAGGTGAACCCGCGCAACCTGGAGCGGATGCGGCATCTGAAGGGTCGCATGGCGGCGCTCACGAACAAAGTCGACACGGTAAGAAGCAACAGATGCTGCACCCGTAGCAGCAGCACTGCAATCCCGGTAGCAGTAGCAGGAAAGACACACATATATACATACATACATATATACAAACACATATATACACACATATATACAAACACATATATACACACATATATACAAACACATACACACGTGTCCAGGTTCGCGGTGTATTGGAGAAGCTTCTGGACGACGACCGCGCCATGGCCGCCATGAACCTCACAGCTAAGGAGGAACAGCAGCTGCTGCAGCAACAGCAAGCGGCGGCGGCGGCGGCGGCAGCCGCGGCGGTGGCGGCGGTGGAGCGGGAGGAGTGGTTCCTGCGACATGGCGGTTCCGGAGCACCAACGTCCCCAGTGAGTCGGGCGGTAGCAATAGGGAAGGGGGGAGGGGGCACCGTCGGAAAAGCGTGCGTACGTGTGTGTATATGGATCATATAACTCAACCGCAATGAGTCCGCGTCAGGGTCCCCTCCTACCCGTCAAACCAACCGCCCGAGCAACGTGGCCTTCCACTCCCACCTGCCCAAACACACACACGGTCAGGTTATGAAAACACACAACGTGTCGATATTCAACCCCCTTTCCCCGCCACAGGCATATCCTGCGAGCTCCAGCCCCCTCATAACCCCGTCCCTAGATATCTTTCAGGCGCAACAGCAGCTACAGCTTCACCATCCCCACCAGCAGCAGCAGCAGCAACAACAGCAGCTGCAGCAACAGCTCCCGTCCATCGCGAGCCACGGTCCGGTGGTATTGCCAACTCCCAACAGTCCTCCCCCTCCTCCTCCCCCTCTTCCTCTTTCACCCTCACCCCCCCTGGAGCGCATTACTGGGCAGGTAAGGGCGGCTTGAGGGGGCCGATGGGTGCTGTAGCAGTAGCAGTAGCAGTAGAGTAGCATTAGCGATGACATCAGGGTCAAAAACACTTGCTCATGAGTATGTTGATGTACTATTGATGTTGTTGTCATCAGTCATCAGGGTGAGTTGCTGTTGTTGTGTATCAGTTGTACCTTTTGTGGTTTCCCAGCAGCAGCTGCAGCTGCAACTCCTACAGCTCATCTAGTGCTGTTGCGCACTCCTGTTGGTTTTGTTCTTTTACTGCTGCTACTGTTATTGATACTGCTACTGCTATTGATACTGCTACTGTTGTTGTTACTGCCCTTGCCTTCCTTTCCGGGCAGCAGCTGAGTATTGGTGGTGGCGGTGGCGGTGGCCATCATGACGGCGGCGGCGGGGATGCTGGGATTGGGGATGAGGAGGTGGCAGTAGTGGAGATGCTGCTGGAGGTGCGGGTTCCGGGGTTGGGGCCAGTGCGTGGATGGGGCCCGGACTGAAGGTTTGGACTAGCGGCCGACGGTTGGCGGTTGTCATCACCTGTGGATGAAGACCCGATCTATACGACACCCTTTGCCCTGCACTGTCTGGTTCATATATTTATTTATCACTCCGTATTTCTTATAGGTAGCAGCCGAGGTAGGCGGAATGCGCTTTGAAAGGTGAAATCTTTGTGCATTCGGGTTGCAGGCTTACTTCATGCAGCTGGGCCACACGTGGCAGCAACTGCAGGTGGGGTTGCCGTGGCTGCGGGAATGGGTTTCGGATGTCGTGCAATCGTACGCTCCGTGTGGAGATGGGTTTTATGGTATAGGTGTGCGGCCGTCTGTATGTTTGTTCTGTCCGCACGTCCACTCAATCAGCAATCCGCACCGGTTCTTTCGCCCCTGCACCTCGCACTGCGAATAGCAGTAGTAGCAGTAGCAGTACTAGCAGTAGTAGTAGCAGTAGTAGCAGTAGTAGCAGCAGTAGTACATCGCGCTTCACACTCCGCCCGCCAACACGCCCTTCCCTGCGTATGTGCACACTGCAGTCTCTCAAGTCGTACATTGACAGTACGGAAGATCTGATTAATCTGGAGCTGGATCAGCAGCGCAACAACTTGATTTCTGTGGACCTCATGGTGGGTGAGAGTGTGTGTGTGTGTGTGCGGAAGACGGGGGCCGGGCTGCTGGGGGAGGTGAGGTGAGGACTGGGGCCGGATAGCCCGTGTCGAGTGGCAAGGCCAACCCTGACCACACCCTTATCGCGCACCGGCCTGAATCAAACTGCATATTACTCCACACCAACTCATTTCCTGTACACCACCTCCTCGCCACTTTGGCTCTCCATCCATCATTTTGTCTGAATGTCTGTCTGTCCGTCTGTCTGTCAGGCCTAATTTCTGCAACAACTGGAGTTCGTTTGCGCCCGACTGTATAACAAACCGCCCAACCATTGTAACCGCCAACTGACGACCAAACAATAAAGCTGTATCGTTCCCCTTCTTCCCCTGCATGGCTACGAGGTCAACACTGATTCATGTAATATTATAAATATTATTTTCCTTGCTTTCCTCAAAACTATTTTTCAGGTCACTTTTGGCTCCTTCCTTCTGACGGCAATGTCAGTCATCGCGGGCTTGTTCGGAATGAATGTGACCAACCGCATGGAAGCCGACTATTCGGCCTTCCTTTCCATCTGCATTGGCTCGGCCGCCGCCGCGGTGGCGCTGTGGCTGCTGTTTGTGTACGGCTCCATTCGGTACGGCCTGATGAACGGCCTCAGCATGACGTGGCGATAGGTAGTTGGGAAGTTGGTGGTGTTGGTTATTCGTTAACTCAGGTGGCAAATTTTGGTAATGGAAAAAATTCAGGTAGAAGAGGGAGGTAAGGGGGTTGAGAGGTTTTCGGATGGTAGGTGGGGAAGTGTTAGGGGATCGGTCCGTACGTACTTTCAAAGAAGAAAGTCACAATATAAATAATTATATAATATTAAAAAATATATACATACATAATATCATAATGTTTCTCATCATTTCATTTCTCGTCGTTTATTGCGTGCCGGAATTAAACAGCGACGGGTCAAGTTTGGCGATTGAAAATTTGAGGTTTCGGAGCTTGAGGAGGTGCGAGCGAATGTCGCCATGCTGGAAATCATTGTGATCATTGCTCAGGTTTTACGTAACATTCGGTAGGTAGCGAGTAGAGGAGTAGGCTAGTCAGCTCCTTCGAAGCTGAAAAGGGCTCTCGGCCCCAGTCGCCCCGCAGTATTCCGCAGGAGAGGCTGTACGGTGCTGCCTGCAAGTGAAGGAACAGTGTCGTGTTTGGACTGTAGGCCCTCATCATTATGGATGGATAGCGGCGAGGGCTGGGTGCGGCGGCCGGCGGCGTCGGAGTGATGTATGAATCTGGTGTATGTACTCTTGCTGTTAAGGCCCCCATGCAAATCCATGGACGGTGCATTGCGCGCCGCCTCCATCTCAATAAGAACGACTGAGCTGCGCACCTATATAGCCTCCTGGTAGTGCGCGAACCCAGTTCCCCATTGCCAGTCGAACTGGGGAAGAACACATATGCATGAGATGTGCGTGAGACGGAGCAGAAAGGCAAGGAGGGAAGTGCTGCTGTGGAGCAGTTGGCATGGATGGGCTGCTGGAGTGTGGCGGAATGTGGCGATGAGATGAGCCATAAATAGCCATTCCAAGGAAGTCCAGGGAAAGAGCGAGAAAACCGTGCGCCCGCACAGCAATCAAAGCAGCATGAGACAGAAGCAGCATGCGCCGCAACGTGCACGCACACCGCACTCCCCCTATGGCAAGAAATGGTCGGTAACTGACCGGTTGGTTAAAACTCAACGGTCGATTCGGTTAAGTAACCGTAACCGACATTTCAAGATAACGACCCGGTAACCCTACCGATCGGTTACCATGTCCGTTGCATGCCTCCCCACTTGCTGCATGTTGATGCTGCTGTTGCTGGTGTGTAACGCCGCTACCTAGTGCTGCTGCCGGTCCTGTTGCTGATGATGAGGCTGTTGCAAGGTGCGTGATCGTTTTGTCCGGGACCTTTTAATTAGTAATTTGCTGTCCCACATGTTTGAAACTGATCTTCCTCGTTAATTTTTATATAGATTAAAAAGCTTACGCAGGGCTTAAGGATTGAGGAGTAGCCTAAAACCAAACGGCAGCAACGCAAAGCAAAGCAAAGGTTTCCTTACGGGGCCCACACCGCGCGGGGTCGCTCGTGTCATTCGTATGCTGGTAAACACTCTCGCGGAATGACCGGCACCGGCATGTAGGCCATGTACACACAGTGGGGATGAGGTTTGTGGTGCGCGCGGTTACGCAACGTTGCTCGCAACTCGCTAACTTTAGAGACTTTCTACCTAATATGCACAGTGGGCACATCGGCATTTACGCCAGGGTGCGTTTGATTTTCGTAAAACTTCAGCAATTCAACATCGCGTCGTCACGCAACGGAGGGCAGTGCAGGGTTGACGACTGGTGGCATACGCTTTTGCATTGGCCGTTGGATGTAAGGGTACCGCATAAGGTACGGCATGTAAGGGTACGGCGTAAGGATGTAAGGGAAGCACCGACAGCGAACAGGATTTCTGGGAGGCTACCGACCGCGTGATCCGCGTTGACTCCTACCCACCAGCAATTGTGCCCCACGTTCGATATCTCAAGAGCATCCTGTTCGCGTTGCATATTCCGATGTATGTGAGACGAGGTTGTTCATGGGGCCCTTAATTCGCGTTTTGACAGAGCGGCGCACTGCGCGACACACGTACCTGCGATTGCCGTCTGGCTGGGTCCAAGCGCGAGAATTCGATAATAACTTATCTTAGGTTGAATTTTACGTGCTGGCGGCGCGGATCGTTGGAGGATTCAGATGCCTATTAACATTCGCGTCTGCTGAGATATCGCAAATGTCAGGTGTTTAGTATGCATAGGAAATTTTGGGAGGGAGGAAGTCCGGTTGACGAGGACAGATATCGATTAGAACTGCTAGGGATATGCTACATTTGGAGCATCGAAAGGATTCGGTAAGCTTGATAGTGAGAGACGGTTTGGGGGAGTAGCAGGAGTGAAGGCGATTACCGTCAGATGCTACCGCCATCCTGCTGGCTGGTGCCACTTTATTTTCGAACAAGGTCGTTAGGCAAAACGCACAGCTGTCACGAACATCTTACATACATATGGATTTATGGACCACGCAGGCAGCACAACGTTTTTCATCCCCTTAAAGCCCGTAAACCAATACTATTTAAAAGGCTTACGCAAATAAACAATATATGCCATGTGCGGTGCAACTCTTGAGGCGCCTGGTCGCCGGCCACCACCAAGCCAAGCCCAATATAACTAATTCCTTACCGCGTTCCCAATCTCTGATATGGAGCTCTCGACAAAATCCATATTTGTTTGTCAGTAGAGTACAGGTAGTTTTTTCCGTGATCTTTCTCCCAACAAGCTTTCTTGGTGCTGGGGCTTGTTCAACAACTACATGTCACGCGGATGGAACCATCTAAAGCGGGATATGAGGAGCCTCGAGGGACGGCGGTCAATTGCATTGACCCCGCGTTATCTACTAGACGCACTACGCCGTCCATTACTATCGTTCTTGACGACCCTATTCCTTCTGGAGAGCATCTGAATATTTTCGCTGGCTTGGTGCCAGGCGAGCACAGTGGCGAACTGCCCTCGCCTTTTAATGCCGCGGGGCTGGCTTCAGAGCACGTGTACCCTGGCGCAATCTGGGATGAGCGTTGTGCTGCTTCCTTCGCATCGCCAACCCGGACGCCGGGGAGTCTTAGCTATACCGGCAGGTGCGGCATTTGGCGGTTGGGAGGGGGGGAGTGAGACGGCTGGACATGGTACCGGGCCCGGGCCATCATGCCATTCAGCACATGCGGAGAAGGTCGAAATGTCGTCCTGAAGGTTTCGGAGCAGCGCAGCTCATTCCCTCTCTGCGCCATGGCACGCGCCTAGGTGTCATCTTGGACAGTTAGGACCGCACAGAGCGCTCCTGGCGGGTGTGGTGTGGTGTGGTGTGGTGCCGCTTCGCTCTGATTCCCCCTGTCTGCCCCTCCCCGCTTTCCCCCCCTACCGCCACTCGCAACCGTACATACATATAGACCGACCGATGCAGATCTTAAAGTGGGGCTGAAACCAACCTAACTGAGATTGAGCTGGGGACAAACCGTATTAGTTGTATCAGGCAACCTCTGGATGAGTGATGCTCCACACCACCGCGTTGTGCTGCTCATGCTCATGCTCATGCTCATGCTGATGCTCATGCACTCTCCACGTTCCCTCCCCCCCCCGTGTTTGGGTCTGGCGCTCCTTTCCATAAACCGCCCACGGGCGTTACTCCTCCCCCTGGTGCCGTACTCTTGCCGCGGGCTCCTGCCATACTTCCGCAAATCCACGCACGACGCCGGCGGCACCACTGCCGTATCAGCAGTAGCGACAGCTCGCGCGATTGTGATGGTGAGAAGGACGACGAGGAAGGGGGGGAGCCTCGGAGGACGGCGACGGCGGCGGCAGCAGCAGGAGCAAATCCGTTAGCAGCAGCAGGAGCAGCTGTAGCACCAGTTTTACAAGATGTCGTAGCAGCAGGAGCTACAGCTGCCGCTGGCGTGGCGGAGTTGCCGCCGCCGCAGCAGCATCCGTCATCACAATCAGCAACGCGGCGGCGGGCCGAGGTCGCCAGCTGCTCTGGCGGCGGCGGCGGTCGTACCAACGGCAACGCAGCTGCTGGCGGCGCCGCCAGCAGCACCACAGCCTTTCAGTTAACCATGAGCCACATTGACGGGCAGTTGCTCGGGCGAAACTGTGGAACTGGCTGTAGCCGTACTGGCGGCGGCGGAGGTGGCAGCAGTAGCAGGGATCTGACCCGCCAGCTAGAAGCAGCGTGTGCTCTGGCCCGTCGGATTAATCTCGGTATGGAGCTACAGCTCAATGCAGGGAGGCTGCACTGTACTGCACCGACGGCATCAGGTGGTGGTGGCGGCGGCGCCGCTGCCGCCGTCGCAGCCAGTTCCACCGCCGTGGCGGAGGCTGTAGCCTGCTCCAGTGCGCCGCCACGGCCTTACCAACGGGAGCTGTTGTCGGCGGCCGCTACAGGTCCGGCGGCAGCGGCGGCGTGTAGTACCGCTGCAGGCTGTAGCGGCCCTGCCGCCGCCGCTTCCGGAGGGCCTTTTAGGGGGAACGGAGCGACGGCAGCGGCGGTGACGGCAAAGGTACGATGTTCGGAAACAGCAGCGGCGGTGGCGGGCGAGGGTGCTGTCGGTGGCGGCTGTAGCAGCGACGGTCACGGTGGCTATGCCGCCAGTGGCGGCGGCGGCGGCGGCAGCTGCACCCCCGCCCTCGCGCAGCTTGAGGAGCTGCTGGCGCGGGAGCGGGCGCATGTGGCCACCTTGGCGGCGGAGCTGAACGTGAGTGGCGGTTGTCGGTTGTACGTCACAAGTGTCGTTGTAACCGTTGCTGCTTGCGCTTGGGTGCAACTGGCCGTTTCAGGGCTGCCGGTTGGGCCGTACATATTTTTAATGGAGGCTCACCCCTGCCAGTGCTGGCAGTGGTTCCCCATCGTCGTCCCCCCCCTTTCTGGTCCGTTCGGTTTCCCTCCTTCTCCCCCATAGTCCTGCCCTTCGTTATAGGATGTCAGTTAGGATGTCGTTAGGATGTCAGTTAGGATGTCGTTAGGATGTCAGTTAGGATGTCGGGTCCGGTGCTGCCTAACGTAAAACCCTCTGTAACGCCCCCGTGAGGAACGAGATCCCGTTCGCATGCCTCCTCCGTCCTTCCACGTAATGCTTCCTGCCGTACCCTGCCGTATTCTGCCGTACCACCCTACAGGAGCTTCGGCTTCAGTCCCAGCGGACAGCGAAGCTCCACGCGGAGGAGGTGGCGGCGCTGCAATCGCTGCTGGCGGACGAGCTGCTGATGCGTACGGCAACACCGACGCCGTCGCAGCCGCCGGCGTCGCCGCTGCGACTGAGCGCCGCTAGCACCAGCGGCGGCACCGCTGCCGCGTTCATGTCACCGCCGCCGCCGCCACCGCCAGGCAAGTTTTCCGCCTCAGCCGCAGCAGCCGTCTCGTATCGTACAGGGGGTTTCCTATCCCCGCCAACGACGACTCGGCCCATGCTTCCGATGCTGCCGTCGGTGTCTTTCCGCGTGCCTCCCGCAATGGTGACGACGGCAACGGTGGCGGCTGCGGCGGCGTCGGCGTCAGCTGGTGGGGCCCTGGCGGCGGCGGCTACGTCAAGGACCGCCAGGTACTGCGCTTTCAGCTGGGCTGGCGCCGCCAGCACTGCCGCCGCCGTGGCGGCGACGACGCCTCCGCCGGGGTCTATATTCCTGCCGCCGCAGCCACCGCACCCGCCACAAGGCCACCACCCGTGTCATCACCCGGAGCAGCCGAGCCAACGAGAACGGGATCTCGAAGCGCAGCTCGAACGCGAACATCGCGACCACGCGGTGGAGCTGGAGCTGCTGGAAGTGAAGCACAGGTGTGTTGAATGGCCACTTGGCGGTCGTTAGAGGGGAAGGGACGATAGGAAGGCGGTTCCGGGGCGCAAGAGAGCGGAAGAAGTGGACGTGGTTCTGCGGCGATATCCACAGTGGTATGTATGTATGTATGCATGTATGTATGTATGTACGCATGCATGTATGTTTCTGATAGTCCTGTATCGCTGCTTGAATGTATTCGCAGGCGTGAGGTCCAGAGATTGCGGTCTGAAGCAGCTGCCGTACAGCAGCTAAACCGGGAGCTGCAATCCGCGGTACGGCGGTTGCAGGGAGATGTACGGGTGTGCGACCAGCTCATAAACTGGCTTGCTCCGGAGGATTGGGACGTGGATGGGTCGGAGGGGGAGGAGGGAGGAGGTACGGAGGGGCTTGGGGAGGGGCAGGAGGAAGAGCTAGTGGGGGCAGTGGGGACGGAGGAGGAGGAGGAGGAAGAGGAGGGGGAGATAAGGGCCCGGGGTCGAGGTGGGGGAGGGGAGTAGGAGGGGGTCGGAGGTAAGGGAGTGATGGTGGAGCCGTTGGGGGCCGGGAGGGGCAGCTGGCGACTTGGTTGGTGAACGAGAGGCAGGTGAGAACAAGGCTAGTTTGATGAGGGGGAGGAGAGGGGGAGGGGAGGGGAGGGGGAGGGGGCTAGAAGGGGTTTTGGCGGGAATGGCGGTGGCGGGGTGATGGAGGTGCCGATAACGTTACGGCGGCGGCGGCGGCAGGGAATCCCAAAACGGTAGTCATGCAGTCAGCAGGAGTATTTGAGCTCTCTGCGTTTCTTCTTTAGGAAGTTATCTCACGTCCCATTACCTTATGCCGTACACTTTTAGGTAAAATATATGTTCCGTTTAACAGATGGACACGACAGTGTACGCAGGTCCATAGAATTATTGCGTCAGAGGCAGTCACTGAGCAGGCGATGCATGTATTTAGGGAGGGGTCTGGCACGGTGGTGCGGCTAGGAGACGCTTCTTTTTTTGCTGGCGTCGCAGGTTCCTTTTTGTGTGTGCGTGTATGGTGGGTGTGCACGTTGTGCTGCAGCTGCGGTGCAGGTGGTGACGTGGGCCCCTAGATGTGACTCAGGGGCACAAGGAATGAGCGAGAGAGGGGACGACGAGGCATGCCCCACTGATTTGCAAATGATAGCCCAGTTTATTCTGTAGCAGCCATGAGAATTTCCGGTCAATTGTCGCCAGCAGTCCACCAGAACTCGGAGCGAAAAAGTTACATATCATCGCAATCTTTAATTTCCTCTTTCCTTCCCCCCTGGGGAAATAGGCATTACTTTAGATAGGCAGTCGAAGGGAAAAGCCGATAGAACATAGATTATAGCTTTAGCAGTGATTTGTATGAAAGGTAATAAGGTGGACACGCTGCAGGTCGATTTGAGGAGGGAGGGAGGCGCTACATGCCCATCGCAGGCGCGGGAGAGTCGGTGACGCTTTTGCACATATCTGAGTGACGTGACGTGGCAGTAAAAGTGACAGAAGGACGAAGATTGGCCACGGGGAGAGGAGTGTCGCTAAGTAATGTAGTACAACAGGCGGTATAAATTGAGGCCAATACCATTATTCGTATGTATGTATGTATGTATGTATGCGTGTAGGTATGTGTGTAGCCAGATAGACGTATGACAGTTCAATGTGTACCTCGGCAGCTATGGCTATATGCTTCAGGAACGGGGCAGAGCAAGGATCCCGTATTTTTAAAGGCGCATTGATTTTTATGTTTATACTGGGTTGCGGGTAGGTGCGGGTAGGTCATGATCCTCCTTGTACTTCTTTATCCAAACATGTCTGGTCGTGCTACGCCGCCGCCGGCCACTTTCGAGAAAAGAAATTTCAATCTACTGTTATCAACGTATCTGCTTCAGCCAATCTATTCAGAATACCATGTCCGCGAGCAGGGCAGTATTACATCCGCTTATGGCGGTTTCAAGACGAAGTACAAACAGGGCACGGCATGAGATTTTGAAAATCCTAGCAGATATACACATATGGTGTACGACAATTCTCCATGCATGTCTATAATATAATATAACGGGATAAATTGCAAAAAGAAGAAAGAAAGAAACGCGACACCCAAAGCGTCGTTTGCGCACCTTGAGGAAGGTAGAAAAAGATGTGCGTCAACGCTAAGGAAATGCTTTAACACCGGGTTCCTTAATTAGCAACACGGGGGGTCACCGTACTGCCTCCATGCCGCCTCCATCCCTCAATCACGCCCATGCCACTCTTGTCCTTCGCTGTAGTGGTACGACGACATACAGCGCTAACTAATAACTAAGATCGTCCGCTTACAAGCGACAATCCGCCAATAATGCAACAACGCCGCCATGATGACGAAAAGAATAATAAGGGGAAGACACACACACTACCGGGAAACACGTGTTGCACTTGATCAACAGTCCCATGCGAGATCTACCTCGAACCTGAAACAAAATCATCTCTTGGTATGAATTCTCAACTGACCCGTTGCTTCAGATCCGAAGACTGTACGACGGACGCATGTAAGTATACGGCGTTATAGCACCTCTTAAGTATCGGCAAAGGCCCTAGAACAGCTCCTAACGACCAGCCACCGCTTCACCTTCTCAGCAATCACAGTCATCGTCAAATAGTCCACTGCAGCTGCCCCCTGCCCAAGAAATGCATCAAGGTAAAATATTCTTCCGCAGATAGATACATATCCATAACACACATAGTGCAACACACAAATAACATGAAACGACACAACAGGACGGGGAAAAAGACGAAACCATGCCATGTCAAGTGTAATTGAGGGGCACAAACTAACACGTGTATATACACACACACAACACAACACACATCTTTTTAACCCTCACCATCTTTTTAACCCGCTCGATAACCCGACTGTTTTGCGTGCTTTCCTTTCCTTTATCTCTCCCGTTCTCGCCCAAGTAATCGCCCAAGTGATCGCCCAAGTTAACGTAACTTCGTCGTTAAGCAATGTCCACCATCTCGCAGCCGCCGGCGGTGCACGCCAGCTCGGCCTCCATCTTTTCGTCGGCGCCTAAGCAAGCAACAGGTCGAGGTGGTGGCGATGGGTTTGCGGGCATGTTTTGTTAATTTTTATTAAAATTTGATGAGTTCGATAATAAGGAGCTGCCTTTTGATGTCAACAGCCGATGGCGGTGTAGCGCACGATGGGCATGGAGGCCAACATCATCGTCTTTGCACCTGCTGTTACTCTATTCAATGGCGGCGGACGGCACGCCGCCAGCTGTAACATCAGCAAAATTGATTAAGCATTTGGATGCGAGCGGCCTCATCGACCCATCACTCTCACCAGGCCCGCGCTCGAGCTCTCGAAGCAGCGACCAGTTAAGAGCCGATGGCATGCGGGCCGCCAACTCGTTGTACGTCTGCTCGTCCACCGTCTCGTACGGCATCTGCTTATAGCTGCCGCAGTCGTACGGCAGGAATGACACGCCTGTGGTTGGACGTCCAAGGGCGTCAGTATTAACAAAGGTGCGCAGTTGGTAGCGGCGCAGTAGTCAATATGACCTTAAGATGTAAACGACCCGCCTTCCTTGGGATGCATATACTTACATTATTGGGCCTTCTATCTAGTACGACCGTCAACTTTGTCAATACATCGCCGCCATTCTGTCGTGTCAGTACGTGAAGTACATGCAGTACATCATGCTCGAAAGCTTCTACTGACTGTCCCGTGAGGTGACTTAACCCAGAAGAGATGATACAGAGTGAAATGTTGCAACATGAGCTGCTAACGATATACAAAGACCCGCCACCCGCGCCGGAAGATAAGGAACAAAAATTGGTTTTCCCCAAAATTCCTCTTCCTACAACTTATATAAATACCAACTGAACAGAGGGGCATGTTCATTTTCACGTTAAAAATGACGGATTAGAAAACCCAATTAAAAACCCAATTAAAAACCCAATTAAAAAACCCATTCGCACACCTGACAGTTCGTCGAAGTGTTTGTAGACCCAGGCGCCCACCTCCATCCACTCCCCCTCGCGGACAGTCACAGTGATAGAGGGCTTGTGTTCGCACCAGTACCGTTGGTACGACAAACACAACTCCAGTTGACTTAGCGCGGAGACGTCGTCCCGGGTCACGGCGCCTGGGTGGGTGGAGCGGTTGGTCAGTCAATAGTAACACAATATTTATGATACAGTGTGACTGTCAATCAATTGTGTAGAGCGCGCTTTGAGCTCATTTATTCTTAAACTTCGTTTTTGAATAAAAGGGCGATCACATAATTTTTTGTTATTCTTTAGGTGTGAGTATATCGACGCAGCTGTAAATGCCACATACGGGAGAAATAATAACCCACACAACGCCCAGCCGCACACCCACATCCCCACCATCCCTTCTCTCCCTATGTAAAGGAACGGTGGAAAAAAAGGCCTATTACAAAGAAAGGTCTAGAAAGAAGGAGCCATACCTTCCGGGGCTTTTATAGGAAACGAGAATATGGTTGTGCTATCCGGCCTGAGGACGCAGTCTTCGTACGGCACCCCGTTGGATTTCAGGAAGGCCGTCAGTGGATCATCCTTGTTGCACCGCACGCGTCGAATGTAATACTGTAGTGCCGTACATGTCGTACATGTTGCAACACAAGGGGGCTTTACTTTACACTGAGGGAGGAATCTGGAAAGGGAATGAGCTGTAAAGTTGCTTATGGGTTTTGCGGGAACATAAAAATGGCTATCAATTGCTTTAGCCCTTTAGCATCCTTTTCGCATCTTTTATCGTATCTACCTTTGTTTATTTTACATTCTCATCACTACCACTCCCGACCGTCGTCAACGCTCCCCTAAACCCATTTCCCCTCACCCCAACCCGCGAACCCTTAATAACCCGCCCTCCCTGACATCTCCCCCCCCCCGCCATTTCCCCCGTCATACGCATTCACTGAAGTCCACAACGTACCTTGGCGTGGCGTGGGTGTATGCCCGACGCGGCGTCCACCAACTGACTAACCGTTCCCGAGGGTTTCACGCACGTGACCGCCGCCGAAGCGGGAATACCCAGCTGCGCCGCCATGTCGACATTGGCGGCCACCGCCTCGCTCCGCAAGGCGGTCAGCAGCGGCCCCAGCAGCTCGGTGCCACGGCGTCCCGAGGTGAGCGTGTTGTCCATGATCCCCGTGAGGGACACACCGAGCAGCCGCTCCTGCTCCGTATTAACACGCCAGACCTGAGTATGCGTACGGAAGGTGTATCGGAGTTGTCCACAATTGATTATACACGGTGCTCGGGTAGCTCAGTCGGAAGAGCGCAAGGCTCGTCACCTTGAAGTCGTGGGTTCGGGTCCCATTTCAGGCGACTTTTAGTATATGTGTGATATGGCATATTCTTATGCCCCCCCTCCCGAGAATCAAGGTCGGTGGTTTTTCCGATTGTGGAAGGTATTGCACCGCGAGTTGATGGACGGTGGTGATCTGGAATATAGATAATCTGCGAGCCGACCAGGAATGGAGTTGGGCCGCTGTCGACCCGGCAGATGGATGCGGATGCCGGTGGTGGGTGCGGCACCTGAGCGATCCACTGAGAAGTTGACTAGGGTGACTGGACGAGGGTGCCCCGAAATACCGGGGAAGGCAGGGTTTCGCCAGGTAGCGGCCGTCAGGGTGAAGATATGCCCCCTATGGCCCTTGTGTGTTGAAAAGATATTGAACCCCTATGGCCCTTGTGTGTTGAAATGACGATCATTAATTTACATAAGATGATTTATGATTCTTTTTGTTGGAAGCGTTTTGACGGGTTGAGCTCCACGGGTACCTTAGGGTCTTAAAAACATTAAATCCACCATTTCCCCCCTCCCCCCCTTTCTCACTCTCACCTCTGCAGTCTACAATTCCCCACAGCCAAATGAAACCCCACCCGCCCAATCTTGTCACATATCTCATCATCCAGTCTCTCACCTCCCTCAGGTACGGCAAGTTGGTCAATGTGGACTGGAAGGTCCCCAGCAGGGCGGCGAGGCGGACCTTGCGAGCCAGGGAGGTCGCGTCGTCGTACGACCGTACGACAACCTCCGTTAGGTTGCAGAACTGGTACGGGCGCAGAATGATCTCGCTGCGCGCGCAAGTGCGAGGGCGAGGGGGAGGAGGGGGAGGGCGAGGGGGAGGAGGGGGACCCAGATTTTCAATCCAACGACAAAACACGTCCCCACCCAATCACCCCATCCATCCGCACACACACCCACACATACATACACACGCATACACACACACACATACACCCACACCCACACGCACACATACATACGCACCTACCTGCAGGGATTGGTGCCAAACTCGAACCCCGGGTCCCTCCGCCCGCCGCCGCCGTTGCGGAGCACCTGCCTGCGACATGCCGCCCGACTGAACAGCCCGCGCTCGCCGCTTCCGCTGTCGTACAGCGCCTGCGGGGGGTTGTTGCAAAGTTACCAAAGAGAAAGGGAAAACGGTTCACCCGTGCCGCATCAAAATCAGACGATAAAGGCAAATCCACAAGCAACTTTCAAACAAAACCAAAAAGACTGAAGAAACAAGCAAAAATCGAAATCCTATGACGCGTTCAGCATGTTGCAAAGAAGATTACACAACCTTACCGACCGCATACCTTTTTACATAACAGTTAACAGTTAGCAATCCTCTCTCCCCTTTAAACACCCATTACCCCCATTACAACCCCACTTACATTTCGACATCCAATCAATTCCCGCACCCGCACCTGTAACACGCTAAAAAACACAACACGATGACAACAAGACCTCCTCTCCCACTCACACTTATCACTACATCACGGAATAACACAAGAGAGACGCAACCAGTGGTAATTCCGTGTTCACCGGTTAACCCCCGAACTGACTCCCGTCTGCCGCCGTACACACACACACACACGTCTCCCACCTTCCACTCCGACATGAACACCCCCACAGGGGGCACCCCCTCCGTGTACACCGCCGAGTTGTTGGCCATGGCGCGGTGCGGGTGGTCCTCCCACCAGGCCCCCGTCTTAGCTCCCCGCAAGGCGTCGTCGTCCAGGTCGGACAGGGAGATGAGGGCGGAACGACGCACGCCGCCCACCACCACGATTTCGGCGACCTTGCAGATCAGGTCGTGGCACTCCAGGGGGGAGAGCTTGCGACCGCGGGCCTTACAAAGCGGAGGGCGATATAGCGGATCACAAAAAGTGGGGGAAAAAGGAGGACATCATTTTGGGGAGATAATGAGCAAGCAGTGGGGGGAGCTGCCAGCTCCAATATTTACAAGGGAAGGCATTATGGAAGGTGGGGAAGTGGGAATCTCAACGAGAGCAATCGTCGGGTGAAAGCAATCCTGGTGGCGGCGGACCTTTTGGAAGAGCTGTACGGCAAAGAGGAAGAGCGCCTCCAGCGGCTCGGGTCCCGACGCGCGCCCGCCAAAGGTCTTCAGTCTGGTTCCCTTGGGCCTCAGACGGGATGTGTCCCAGCGGGGCACCTGACGTCGGGGGCGGAGGGGGGCGCAGGGGGGGGGGGGGGGAGGGGGGGAAAGGGTAAGATAAACCACTGGCGAATGGAGGCGATACCAAAGAAGGGGATGGGGGGGAGGGAATTAATTCGAACCACTGTCGATGAAGCAAATACCAACCAGGGATAGACGGGAGGTGAGGGGGAGGTTCGAGTGGTGGACAGATGAGGTCAGCTGACGTGGGAAGGTGGTGAGGGATATCGACGAGAGCCTCCGTGTGTTTTGCCCGCCGAATACTTCCCAAAACAGTCTTAAAAGAATCGTAGTGAAGACGGTTGCCAAGCCAGTGCATTTCGACCTCCAGCATTGTTACCCTAATTAATTGTCAAAGAGGTGTGCCCCATCCCTCTGTTTCCCCCCTCCCCCCTCCCCCCCCCCCTGGTCTGTTACCTGGCCGATCCACAGCTGCCCCAGCACCTCCCGCAGCGCCCGGGCCCAGCCCTCCCGACTGTCCTCCACGACCACCAGCGTGGAGGAGCTGTTGACGAACCTGACAGGTATAGGGAGAAAACACATTATTAATGTATTTAGAGGTGTTTTTCAAACACAACAATTTAAAATCAGGCCAGATTAGATCATGAAATTAAGTTAGATAAGGTTAGGATAGGTTAAATCATATTAGGGAGTGAAGGGTAGGGACGTTTACGTCCCGAAAGGGGAGGGGAGGCGGGGGCGGGGGGGGCCAGGAGGAGGCTTGCCGGCGTCCTGGGTCCGACACATTTTAACTAGGTGACTAGGTGACGTGCAGGGTGCCCCAGGCCTGGAAGGGGCCGGGAAGGGGGGAGAGCTCCCAGGTGTGTTCCCTCTCCGGTGCCCCCTCACCTCTCCGCCACCGCCGGTAGCTGGTCCACCTGCTGCCGCTCCACGCTGTAGCCCACACCCGTGCCGTTCATCAACACGAACAAGGCCTCGTCGAAGGCGAAGGGGTGGTCGATGGGCAGATAGGAGCAGTTGTAACCTGCCACGTGGCACCTGGAAAGGGCCTCGCCAGCCGTCATCATGCTGCGCATACTTGGCATTACCTGGAGGGGGAAGTACGGGGGCAGGTAAGGGGGAGGTAAGGGCGCACGGCGTACGGCACATACCAAAATGTTTGTATGACAGGTACGACATCTGAACAGTTTGGTTGCCAGGCATTTCCATCAACCTCTAGGCGCAAAGTTGGTGGGGCCGGACAACACTCCAAAACTCAGTGCAGGTTGTACGATGATATGCGATAAACGATATTCATCGTATACACAGTACAGCACATCATACGCACTCCACGTTTAATGTACGGCACTACAGCCCCTTACGGCTGCTATAGCGGATGGAATAGAAAGGAGCTGTCTGGAACGTGTTCTATCAACCCTAAGTTGCAAAACAAGTACCTCGAGGTTGATGATGGCCTCCGATAACTCGGCGCGCAGCTCGGCTGGCATGTCGTACGAGCAGGTGTCGTGCAGGTGCTGAGTCATAAAGTCCAGGTACCTGAAAAAAATGTTACGTAAATCGGATTTTGTGATGGAGGACCGGCTAGGAAGCCTTCAAGTCCGTCGAGACTCATTCAGGGCTCGGTTATAGCGCCGGTTAATAACATACAAATGGACCACACACGTGTCCAGCATGTCCCACAAAGCCCCATTTCCGCTTCATTACAAGTATTACCAGCCAGCTCAAGCCCCCACTTCCTCAGGCCCCACTCCCCCCCTGCCTGACCCCCTGACCCAGCCCACCTGCCAACAGTCTCCGGCCAAGTCTCCCGACGCCTTTTGAACTCCACCCAGCGCGCATATCTAGAGGTATGGATGAAGGCCTGGTAGTCGGAGGGCAGGCCCCGTTGCGAGACCAGAGGACTCGACGGCGGCGGCGGCGGCGGCGACGATAAGAAGCCCGAGGACGAGCGGGGGGTGGATTGGGAGGTGGCGACAGCACCGTCAGCAGCAGCAGCAGCAGCAGACTGTTGCTGCTGGTTGGAATGGTCGCGGCTGCGGCATGAAGGGTTTTAGAGGGAGAAGGGAGTAAGGAAAAGGAAGAGAAATTGACAGCGTTAAAAATATTAAAAGCAGAGCATGCAAAGTTACGTGCTGACTTGACACAAATAAAAGGGGGGTTGTTGCTTGACGGCGCTGAGCAAAGAAGACTGTCCTGAGAGAGCGTTTTAAAGGGGAGGAAGAGATTATAGGGGAGTGGAGGTACTTATAGGGGAGTGGAGGTACTTATAGGGGAGATGGTTCCCGCGAGAGGCGAGAGGACACGGGCAGGGGATGTAAATATGGGTCATGCGTAATGGTGCATGGTGGTGCGGTATGCTGCATAAACGTTTACGTTGACGTTTAGGCATCCATCTGGGTCCATCTGGGTCAGTTAGGAAAGCTGTCGACACATGAAGGTTCGGTACACAAACATTTCGCAGCACCCAAAACTATTTCGCACATTTATTCCCCCAAGAACATACGACACAAATGTAGATCGAAGCCTAAAGAGGTCTAAGCAACACCTTGTTGCGTGGTCTATGGCCGTACAGTACGGTGCTCCCCTTTCCGTGTGATGCCGTCATTAAAACAGAAGATTGTCCCTTTAAGATAACTCACAGCACGCATTGCTCCTTGCTTGGCACCGGAAATAGCTTCAGCTTCGTGCGCGGGTTCACGTTGCTCTTCAACGTAGCGACCGCGTCGACAGCAGTACCGCCAGCGGCACCGGCGGACAATTTCGGCGAGCTAGGTGGAAAGTCAAGCACGTCCTTGCGGCAGGTGCCGTCGGTAACTTGTATCTTGTTCTCATCCATAGAAACACGAGGAACGAGAAGCGGCGTGCCGCATTTGATGGGCGATAGGCAGGAAATGGCGGCCATGGACGATGTTGCCGTCGTGGATGCCATGCTTGGCACTATGCTGGTCATAAGGCGACAGAGGTTCGAATAATAGGTAAGGCAGGAGCGAACGGTGTAACGAAGCAACAGGCTGCGATAGAGAAGCTGTAGTGCGTCTCTGTGCTAAGGCGGGATTTGTAAGGCATAACCTCAAGTGACGCGAGGAAAAGATAAGGCTTCGAAGAAGCCATTGCAGAATGTTTATGACCATGTGCGTAATGCTTCCTGGTTGGATGGTTCTGCGCTTCCGGAATGGGGTTAAGCAGAGTGCGAGACATGGAGATTGTCAAGCGAGACGGACCGAGAAGCAGGGCGCTCTGACAGCAAATACGGAACAATACAGACGCGACATGCCGTGAATGGATGGACGGGGCAAAGGCATCGTGGTCGTTGCGCGCTCTGCCGGTGCCGGCTGGGTTGATGGATTACTGAGCGAAAAGCCGGCACTGACATGCAAGCCATGAAGCGGACCAACCTGGTGCTGATGGAGCTTGCGAACGGCGTATATACAAGGATATATATATTCAGTCTGCAGTTGGCTCGCGTAGTTGGCCGGGAGTATTGACCCGGTCTCTTTTCAGGTAATAGTAGCAAACTCGATACAGCTGTGCAACCTTGCTTTAAAATCAAGTACCAGACGCTATGGCTATGGATGAAGGTATATATAGAATCTGAGTTGTCCTTTCTGTCCTGGCCGTCCTGCCGTGCGTCGCAAATTGTCAACAAACGAATCGTGCGCACATGCCATGCATGCGATGCATGGCGTGACAGCGCCAAGGGATGCACGCATATCAAGTTGCGGCCTAATCCCTGCGATATAAGCTGCTAAATTTGCATGAGAGCTATCTATGACTGCTACGCGCTCATCTTCCTCCTTTGGCTGTGGTTTTAGCACTGCGATACGGCCACAACGCTACGGCGGCAAACGTAATTGATCACGTAATCCAAAACATTACAAGATAGGATAATATGAACACTTCGCGTTAACCCATTGCAGCACTCGAAATTGCTTACCATCCTTTAGCTCCCGAAAACATGGACTGCTGGAGCTTGCCTGCACCCTTACATCGTCATAACTGCTTAGCATCTCTCCATTTATATTTGTTAAATAAATAATTATAGTGATTTCAAGACAGTGACGTTGGCTGTCCTCTGACGGTTGGGAATTTGGACAAGGGGAAGCTCTAGCAAGCCACTTCGGTCGGCGAATCAACATTCAGGGACCTATATTAAGGGCGCTTTGACCTAAGTGTTACAACTGCAAGGCCAGAGCGGCTCGCCAGCAACACGCACAAGGAGGAGGGCCTTATGCATGCCTTGCCATTCGGTCCGTCTGCACGGGCTGCATAAGAACCATTAACCTCAATTGCCTCAAAATCATGTACAGCTGGGCATTCCGCCACGCACTATTCAGTTGTATATGTGGGAGGGCTAGGGAGGCGGTGTGCTTTGCAGCACAGTTCGCTCCACTGTGGTCGTCGTTTGATAGGAGGGTAGGCAACTGGCCTCAATCCTAACCACCCCTTGGTCTCAATCCGAAAGTGTAAACTCAATCCAAGGGGTCTCAATCTCAATCCCCTGTTGTGTCAATCTCAATCCCCTGTTGTGTCAATCTCAATCCCCTGTTGTGTCAATCTCAATCCCCTGTTGTGTCAATCTCAATCCCCTGTTGTGTCAATCTCAATCCCCTGTTGGTCTATCTCAATCCCCCCGTGAGGCAATCTCAATCCCCTCATAGGGCAATCTCAATCCCATGCCTGTGCCACAGTATGAACGGCTGGTCCGGCCATTGACACAATGCGAACCAGGCGTGGCAAGGCTGGCCTGGGAACGTGTCTTAAGGTATCATAACGAGGAGGGACGGCGCATGACTGCTGAGCTCGTGGTGTCGTGCATCCAGGAGGTGGGAACAGCCAGCACTGTCGCACAGAGTGATAGTGAGGACGAGAGTGGCATGGCCGATGTTGTCGCGCCTGTTACCGCTGTGTCAAGGGCTAACGGCCACGATGAAGATGCAGTCCCGGCGGGTAGCCGGCCTATCTTTTTGCAGAGTGCATCGGTAGAGTGGTACACTCCACAGTGCATCCTAGATAAAGTCGCAGAGATGTTTGGGCCGGGGGGAATTGACCTGGACCCGTGCAGCTCGGAGGCGGCAAACACTAGAGTTAAGGCCGGGCGCTTTTTTGATGTGGCTTTGGATGGCCTCAGTGAGGCATGTAGGTGGGAGGGGAACGTTTTCGTCAACCCTCCTTTCGGTTCGAGGGGTGTGCTAAGCATGCAGAACTTGTTCTTCGAACGGTGTGTGAAAGAGTATCGACAAGGGGCTGTCAAACAGGCGGTGGTCCTGCTGAAGGCCGCTGTCGGGTACAAGTGGTTTAGGGCAGTGTTGGAATGGCCAGTTTGCTTCCTGTGGGAGCGGCTTGCATTTGTGCAGCCACAGCACACATCCGTGGGAGAGGAGTCGGAGTTGAAATGGGGCAGCCGTGTACAAAATCCACACGGAAGTGTGGTAGTGTATTTGGGTACCAATGTGGACAAGTTTGTCCGGATTTTTGGTGACATAGGTTCGATTGCTGGTGCCAACGCGTGGGCACACCAGAACTCGCCCCGCTGAAATGCGGGTTTTAATTCCGAGCGGGAATCTGTACATTACGCGCCACCAGTCGTTTGGGTTTACCCAATAGAAGAGCGCACTTGTGTCGGTACAGCGGTGTGGTGTGTACGACACTCATGGGCTAGTTTCAGAGCGTGCGTGTACAGGAGCATGTACAGGAAGATAGGTGTTTTGTTATGATTATTTGCGGCAGCCTGTGGAAGCAGTCCCATTGGACATTTTATGGGTGTGCAAGTTAGTGTTATGTACATATGACGGGATGTCAAGCGGACGGCAGGCTGTTGTTCTTCTTCTGCATGGTTTCCGAGCATGCATACGCGAGCATGCATACGGTGGGACAGAGCGCTTGGTGCCAAGCATGTTAAGCGAACGTTGCGAAAGCTGTGCGACGTGTAACAGTCGAGGAAAGGTTGCGTCACAGATGTCACGGATACCGTTTTTGGTTAGATAACGGCACCACCGACGTGGTAAAGGAGTGCAGCGGGTAACACAAGCATATGTACAGCCTTACAGCCTTTCTATCCCTATCCTCCGGGGTATCAATCCCAATCCAGGCCCAAGGCAATCTCAATCCAACGGTAGCGTCTATCTCAATCCAACGGTACTACACTCTCAATCCAACGGTAACCCGATCTCAATCCACCTCGGTCTCAATCTCAATCCCTCCACAGTCAATCTCAATCCCCCCGTCAGTCTATCTCAATCCCCGGTTGATCTATCCCAATCCTGGCGACCACCCTACCAACTCAATCCAACCGTACTTGCCATCCCTCCTGTTTGATTTTCAGGGAGGTCTTGCCGATAGTAATTCGGCGCTATATACAACGGCCCTTAATCGCCTTGTTTAGATACCATCCAACGAAAATGTTGGAACTTCCCCGAACTCTACTGGCAATGGTACGGCCGACATAACAGCTACAGTCCAATGTGTGTGTGCGTGTATGCGTGTGTGTGTGTGCGTGTGTTTGCGTTACATGGTCATACCAGCAAACCGCCCAGTACGAACCGAGGGCTCAAGGGCTGCCAGATTGCCTATCCACATCATCGTACCTCGCACTCCAGACAAAGCAAGTGATAAGGATACTAACGACCAAAGGGAACGATCGAGTTGCGGTGGGACCATATACGTTCCAGCATCCTTGCCAGACGTTCAGGTTCCTTCACTTCATAGCATCCTTCATATGTTCGAAGCTTGGAAACCCATATCAGATCTGATTTTGTCGTACATCGGACATTCCAGCAAAACGTGCTTCTCATCTTCAATATGGCTATCAATGCCGCAGCAGGGCCCTACTTGCTCCTCCCTAGGTGTATGTATGTATGTATGCATGTATGTATGTACCACTTCCACGTGCAAGGAACGTGAGTGCGACAGGGGGGCCCCCTGTGGGCGCCGGGAGGCGGGAAGAGGGGGAATGTGGTTGCGAGGTTGGTGCAGAAAACCGCATACACATCTTCACGTGACACTCGATACTCGGCATGTCCCGGAAACTGCTCTCCACCCGCCACATAGCTCCACAAGGACTGAACCCCGCCGGCAGCACCTTTGCACCCACCATCCCTCCCCCCTCTCACCCATCTCCAACCACCGCTACCTCGTTACAAAACCCTTTTCTTCCAGGCGCACACAAACTCAACCAACGTCTCGCTCCACGTCGGCAATAGAACAGCACAACGCCCATCGCTACCGGACATAAAGACACCGCCCGCCACTACCAGCGAGGCGGCCGCGGAGCAGGTGGGGACGGGAGAGGGCAGGGGAAGCGGCAGTGTGGGAACGGATGGACCCGTGGGTCATACAGCGCTCTTCTTCCCTGGGATGCTTATGTGTTAGCTGGTAGTAGTTGGATGGTAGTTTGGCGGTTGGCACACCGAGACCTGCAGTCCAGCGCCCGTGTCATTGCCATGTAATTGCACCTGGTGTGTTCGGTCTGTCTGTCTGTGAGTAAGTTTGTCTATCTGTCTGTCTCGTTGCGTGCCGTTGTCTCGGCTGTTGATGTGTTTGGTCGTGTAGCTATTTCCCAAAGTCCCGTCACCTTCCATGAGGCCACATTGGCAAGTTGTTAAACGTGCGTTTTTGTTTTAGTTATTTGCGTATGTTTGTATGTGCTTCTGCATGAAAAGGTAGCACGCCACGATCGTGAGGTGGCGGGCAGCGGTACGGAGAATACCCGGGGGGGACCCGCAGACGATATTCCGGAGCTAGGGAGGGTGGCAGGTGAGAGAGAGAGCCTGTGTGTCTGTGTATGGGATGTGGGGCGGGGCGGAGCTAGCGGGGGCCCATTGGGAGGTGAGAGGGGAA